ATTTTATTTTATTTTATTTTATTTTATTTTATTTTATTTTATTTTATGGGGAGCCTGGGTGGCTCAGTCGGTCAAGCGTCTGACTTTGGCTCAGGGTGTGATCTCACGGTTCGTGAGTTCGAGCCCCGCGTCGGGCTCTGGGCTGGCAGCCCAGAGCCTGGAGCCTGTTTCGGATTCTGTGTCTCCCTCGCTCTCTCTCTCTCTCTGACCCTCTCCTGCTCACACCCTGTCTCTCTCTCTCTCTCTCTCTCTCTCTCTCTCTCTCTCAAAAATAAACATTAAAAAACTTATTTTATTTTATTTTAAATATTGTTATTTTTTTATTTTTCTTTAACATTTATTCATTTTTGAGAGACAGAGACAGAGCATGAGTGGGGGAGGGGCGGAGAGAGAGAGGGAGACACGGAATCCAAAGCAGGCCCCAGGCTCTGAGCTGTCAGCCCAGAGCCCGATGCAGGGCTCGAACCCATAAACTGTGAGATCGTGACTGGAGCCAAAGTCGGACGCTTCACCAGCTGAGCCACCCAGGTGCCCCTAAAATATTATTTAAAAATACTTTTGCAAATATTCCATGAGTATAATTTCATTAAAAAAAGAAGAAGCAAGGAAAGGATTTCACTCCATCCCAGTGTCCTCTTCAGAGACCGCACCTAGGACTTTCGGGTGACAGCAAACCCACACAGACAGACAGGGTTGTGGTTTTGTGTGTTCAGCATTAATGATGTGATGCTACACGTGTTGTCTCAGAGATGCTTTTGAGTCCTTTCATGCTTATCTGCCACAAGGTTTCTGGCCTCAGTATTAGTGAAAGTTAGGGACGGATCTTTCCTTGTGAGGTACCTGTCCTCCATGGCCTCAACCCACTAGATGCCCGTAGCCCTTCCCAGTCGTGATGATCAAAAATGTGTCTCCGGACATGCCAACATCCCTTGGGAGGCAGAGTCAACCCTGGTTGAGAACCACTGGCCCACCCAGTCCTTTCTTTCTACTGGCTCTAGAGTATTTTTATTTAACCAGATGGCCATTCAGATCACTTTCAGCTAACTTGACATAGTAAGCCTCAGTCTCCTCATCTGTGAAATGGGTATGGCAACAATGCCTTTCTTACAGGTTTGCCAGGAAGAGTCAGTGAGCTAATGTACCTGACATGCTCAGCAGAGGACTAGGCTTATAGAAAGAGTCCACAGAAATCTAAGTGCTTTTGATTAATCATACCTTTTGAAATGATCATAACTCTGTGACCAGGGCAGGCCTTGTAGCCTCCCTGACCCTCTGTCTCTTCATCTGTACAAAAGGAAATAACTCCCACTTGACCTCACAGAGTTGTCATGAGGATCGAATGAGGTCATAGCCGTGGAGGCACAGAGCCCACACCTCACGCCCACTCTGGGCACTTAAATCCTTTCCTCTCCTTTATTCCTTGACTCGTTCCCGAGAAAGAGGGGCCCGGCACGATTGAAGAGCTTCAGCCTTGCCTGTGGTACCTCCTCCTGGAGCTGGTCCAAGAGCAGGGTGTGGGGAGCAGGGGCATCTGGGGGGCGTGGGGGCAGGCACAGGAGAGCCCCCACACAGCAGGCTGAGCACTGAACTTCTGGAAATGAGAGCAGAGCCAGAACCGTGGGCTGAGATCACGCTGGTGGTTTCGTTGTCTTTCACTGCCCCGTTTCTCCTTCAGTGTGATTCCTGTCACCAGACAGGGCTGTTTATTTCCCGGTCGTGTGGAGGGCCGGGACTGAGAAGTCGCGTGGTGAATAGCTTAGCCTCCTGAGTCACCAACATGGGTTCATACTCTGGCTCCACCGTGTTCTGACTGTGCCACCTCGGGCAGCAGACTCAATCTCTGGGGAAAAAGGCAAGACCCACACCCACCTCCCAACACACGGTGAAGATCGCCAGGGGCACGGTCAGCACAGAGCCCAGCACGGGGGGGGGGGGTACCCAGAACGGCACCTGCTGCTGTGGGTATTACTGTTGGTCTGCGACCGTTGTCGGTCGGTGGTTTGTGGTCCGTGTGGCTGGGGTGGGGGAGACCGTGACAGGATGGCAGGCTCGGCCTCGCGGTCAGTGAGGTGCCCACCTACCCTGCCCCACACTGCCCAGGAGAACTTTCTGCCCTGGTGGAGGTATTCACTGGCTTCGTGTGACTATCGAGTCCTTGAAACGTGGTTCACGCAACTGGGGACCTACATTTTTTATTTTGTTTCACTTAAAATCATTAATTTTATGTCAGTTAAAGTCTGAGTGGTCACTTGTGGCTAGTGGCTACTGTGTTAGACCGTGCGGCCCTAGGCAGATAAGACCCGGGGCCTAATCACCAGCTGTTTGCCAACCTGGCTCGTGGTGCCACCAAGGAGAACCTCAGTGTCAGTGACTTACTCGTTCACAGAGGTGCGTTCACGTAGCTGGCCGAGTAACTGCCATCTTTTATTGGCCTCCAGTTACACTGCCTCTCCCTGATGGTCCCAGGCCAAGCCGAAGACCTTGCTGAGAGGTCCCTCTGCATGTCCAGAGGCGCTGCTGCAGGGAGCAGATCAAGGAGACCCTGTGAACCCAAGCAGGCGGGGTCGGAGCTGTGGGAGTCGGTGACGGGGAGAGCGTGTCCTCACAGAGCCCTCCTGGGAGTCGGGCCGGATCGCTCCACCCCCCCTTGCCACTGTGTCCAGTGCAGCCCAAGACAGCCCCCCAGTGATGGTGGCCATGGCCTGCTGTGTTCCAGGCCATTGGGCTTATCCTGAGGCTGAGTCTCCAAAGCTTCTAGAGTTTTCTCTCATCAGATCCGCCCAACAACCCAGTGAATAGGTAACTCTAGTTCTCCCCATTTACAGGCCCGAAGAGGTCGAGTTGCCCACTCAGGGTCACACGGCCTCGTAGTCTTGGTGCTGGGTCCTGGGTCCCCTGTTTCCTAATCTTGTGGCCAGTGTGGCAAGTAAGAAAATGAGTGGACCTCACATAGACGTTAACCTTCCAGTAACATTTGTGGAGACCTGGCCTTATTTCAGACACCGTGAGAGGTATTATAACAGGGGCTCCTTAACTGGGGACTCAAATGCTCCTGTGGGGCATTTGGCAGTGTCTGGACACATTTCTTCCCGTGGTTCAAATATGTTATTTGAGGTTTAGCAAAATCATTAAAACAGAAATTATGAAAAAAATAAAAATAAAGAATAAAAATTAAAAACCAAATTATGAAAGGGGAAGAAAAATCACGAATCACACACCATTCAGGCCATGGGAACCTTGTCCAGGAATGGCAGTGGGAACCGGTAAGAATTGGACAGCTTGCCTAAGAAGGCCTGGGGGAGGGGTGCGCCTGGGTGGGTCAGCCGGTTAAGTGTCCGAGTTCGGCTCCGGTCACGATCTCATGGTTCGTGGGTTAGAGCCCCGCATCAGGCTCTGTGCTGATGGCTCAGAGCCTGGAGCCTGCTTCGGATTCTGTGTCTCCCTCGCTCTCTGCCCCTCCCCTTCTCGTGCTCTGTCTCTCTCTCTCTCTCTCTCAAAAATGAATAAATGTTAAAAAAAAAAAAAATTTTTTTAAGACTTGGTGGGAAACGAACTCAGGGGGCATGAGATATTCAAACTCCCTTAATATAAAACCGAAGCGTGCCCGGAGACTTTTACCATCACAGCTGGCTGAGGGTTGCTCCTGGCATCTAGCGGGTTGAGCACAAGGATGCTGCAGAATGTCCTGCAAAGGGCGGGGACGACCAGCCCCAGATGACAGTTATCAGCACCTCCCGCCTGCTTTTCCAGTGACTCTCTCTGCTCCGCTTTCCAGGCGGGAACTTGGGTGTTAAAAGAGACAAAATAGCTTGTTCGAACAGCTGTAGAGCCACAAGTGCCGCAACCAGAACTGCACCCAGGACTCTGCCCCCAGTGCCTGGGCTCTTAACCGCTCAACGGTCCTGCCCCGTAGGCGGGGACTGTTGATCTGAGGGGGACGTGCACGGACGTCAGCAGGTCACCAAACCCCTAAAGCTACCTGCGTCATCGTAGGTGTGTATTTTTCCGAGGCGGGGGGTCAGCCCAGAGCTTTTATCAGTTTCTCAGTGGGTGCCGTGAGCCCCCCCCCCGGGGGCCCCCCCCCACCGGGCAGGAGTTCCTCCTAGAGATTCCAACTGACGTTTGTTCGTTGTCTTCCAGGCGATTGCTCCTTTGCTGGAAAACAACCATCCACCGCCAGATCTCTGTGAATTCTTTTGCAAGGTATGGCGTCACTGAAGGAGGGCTGCGTTTGCAGGAGGCAGCCTGCCTCCGAGTGCGTGCTGGGGTCGGCTTGGTGCAATTTGCTGAAAACCCAGGCTTCTCCGACCTGGGTCAGGGCCCCACATGGACCCGGAAGGCAAGCCAGGCAACCTTCTCTCAGAGTTACAGCTCTCTCTCTCTGCCACACAGGTGATCAGGAAGGCCCAGAGTCCAAACCGGTGGGTCGGGGAGGAGCGTCCGGCTTTTCTCTGGGCTATCTTTGTAGCTGTCTTGGGAGAAATGTGTAGCAGGTTTTCTGGGTTCCTGACGTCAGAGCTGGTTTATTATTAGCCCCGGCTCCTCTGAGCACCGGCTGGCCCACAGTGGGGCACGGCCACGGGGCTTTTCCTGAACAGGGAAAGCAGGCAGGGGAACGCCAGGTTAGCTGGGGGGAGCCACAGAGCGGGACATCCACTCCCACGGACCCAGTGCCGGGCTCGCAGTGGGATTTACACGGAACACACCCAGGGCATGTCGGGGACCACTCATCCGTCACTCTGAAAGCACACTTCAGTAGTCCGGGGACGACTGAACCAGCATGCGATCCTGTTTTGTTCTTTGCTGTATGATTTTTTTTTTTTTTTTTTTTATGTAACGAGTTGATGTCTTTGGAGAGATGCAGGGCCTAGGTTTGCTGCTTCCCCGGCGCTCCCCAGTCTTGCACCTGCTGACTCACCCTCCTCGTGCTCCCTCCCTCCCTTGCTTCTTCCACAGCCGCATGGTGTCCTCAGGGGGCGTGGACTGTGTCCACCAGTGAGCCGAGCATGCGGCATGGCCAAGCGGGCACCTGGGAGGCTCAGTGGTTTCTGGAGGGAAGGGGATGGAAAACACACTCTCTCTGTGTGCTTGAGAGAGACAGGATTGCCTTATGCTCTCTGGCCTCGTCTCTCCGTCAGGAGACCTTTTCCAGCAACCCACAGAGCAGGGGGTGGACCCAGCCTGCTGGCCCGCAGTGCCCGGGGCGCATTCTAAATGCGCGTGTGTAGGCATGTGGCAGGGTGTGCCCTCCGGGCCCAGAGGGTGAGCACCTGTGCGTGTGTGCACACAAGCGTGTGCCGCACGGGCATCGGGCTCCTGTGCAAAATGGAGGCCCCCCCTCCTCCCCGGGGGCCATGGTGAGGCTGGAGACAACTATAAGGCCTTCTCTGCCCCCCCCCAGTGCTTCAGGGCGACGCGCCCCAAGCAGGGTGGGGTCAGATGACCCAGTGTGTGGGCCCCCGAGAGGATGGTCAGCTGCTCCCTTACCTGTCTCAGCCGATCATCTCTCTCAGTAGTTTGTCTGATTTAATCCAAATCTCTTTATTCTGCTCTCAGGCTGTACAGCTTCTCCCAGAGTTCATGGTTTTCAAACCATGGTGGTTCTAGAACACTGGACCTCTGTTCAAAGCAAATCATACCTGAGGGTTCCCGGGTAGCACATTTTGAAAACTAGTGAGGTGGAAGAAACCATTCTTTCTGGCATTTCCTGATAGAACTCCTACTGGTCCTATACAGAAGGCAGCCTGCCCTTTGGAGCGAGGACTGCCAGCCCCTGGGGCCTGTGAGCCTTCAGGCTATTTTCCCTCTGGGGGGGCGGTCCAGCCTCAGTGCCTCTCCCACCAGGAAGCCTTCCCAGAGAGGGGAACCTGAGGGGAACAAAGCCACCCCCACTGGGTCCACTCTGGGCCAGCTCACTGGACTTGCCCGGGCAGCCTCACCTACCAGACTTTGAAGTCAGGACCCCACGATCTGAGGAAAGTTTATTTACCTTGGGTTTCCCAGGAAAGCCCTGATTTCTCATATCCCAAACTCAGCACCTACAGGCCTGGGCAGGTTATAAATGTGCGGGAGGAATGGGGCCTGGTCTGTTCCACCTGAAGGTCTTCAGTTTTCATTTGAAACACAAAACACCACCGTGACGAAATTAAAACACATCTGAGAGGTGCATTTGGCCTCACACTGCTGCCAGCTTATTAAAACCAACAACCGAAAAGCCACAGAGGTTTCAAGATTCTGGTGTCCAAACCCTGAGACCCCTGGTGTTCTTGCCCCCGGGTTTCAAGACACTCCTCTGTCACACCATGCCCTCTGAATCTTGGTGCTGTGAAAGCGGCACTGTATTAAATAAGGATTGTGTCCAGAGCTGACGCCTGTCTATACTATCTAAAACAGCCTCGGATTTTAAGATCAAAACAAAAAACGAACAAAAGATCCCTTCCTCACTTTTCTTACTGCAAAAAGAAAAAAAAAAAAAAAAAAAAAGCAAAAGCCGTGCACCAGTATTGAGCAAGGGAATACAGGCATCAGTGCTGGGTTCCCTGCCCCTGAGCCCTGCTAGGAGCCACAGACCAGGCCCGATCAGCCCTGGCTGGGCCCTGCCAGCTTGGCACTGACCCGTGTCCTTCTGTCTCCCCAGCACTGCAGAGAGCGGCCCCGGTCCATGGTGGTCATCGAAGTGTTCACGCCCGTGGTCCAGAGAATCCTCAAGCATAACATGGTGAGTTCCCCTGACCACCCCCCGCCGGCCCCAGACTGCAAAGCCAGTCTTTTCTTTCCCTTTTCGCCAAAGATTTGGGGAGGGGGGTTGGCTGTCCTGGCCTGACCGCCAGGGACTGGGGTTGGGATTCTGTCTAAGTTGGGGTGTTAGCGCAGCCTGTCCTCCTCGGCCATATTTTTTTTTTCTCTTAAGGCAACAAGAAGGATCTTTTCACAGTAAAAATAGCAAAAATAGTGTGTCTGGGGGAGAAGAGAGAAGTTTCCGTGTGTAGAATCAGAAATAAGGTCTACCGATGCTCGGCCCTCAAGAAGAGGAAGTGGAACCCCTCGCTTCCTCAGTGGGGGCTGTCCATAATGGTGTCCTTCCTGATGCACAGTGTGGAAGGGGGAGAAGGAGTGATTTTGTGATGGAGAAAGCGGACGGTCACGGCCATGGCCAGGCAGTCAGGGTCATCGGCAGCAGTGACAAGTCACGTGAGGGCGTGCACCCTGGCTGTGATGTGAGGGGAAGGGCAGCAGTGAAAAACAAGGGCCAGTGTCCGCCGTGCCTTACCGAGCCAACCCCCAGCCTGGACCCAGGTCCCCTGGGTGACGTGGAGGCACCTGTGTGCCGTGGCACTAAATCAGTTGCAGGGTACCCGTGACCCCTGCCCCCTGGCCTGTCAAGACTTAGCATGTGAAAACAACTGTGGAAAGGGGCAACCCACAGTTCACAAGTAGCCTTCCTGTCTCCACACCGTGTCCCTAACCCCAATCCGGACGGCAGCGTAGGGCACAGGTGCGGTTCCTCATCCCGCACCCGCGGCAGACATCATTAATCGATTACAGCGCTCCTCCCGCAGAGCCCAGAGGTAGCTTCAGAATCTATCCCAACACAACATTCCCGGCAGACACTGGCAACTGAACTGTGCTGGCACGGTGTGAATTCTGTTCACCATTTTCTGCCCTGAGCAATCACATACCATAATTGAACTGTTGCTTATTTCTGAGATCCTCCTTGATTTGAGATAAATGCACTTCTAGTTTTCCGAACCCAGGGGAGAGAGATACTCCGTCCAGTTCTTTCTCCAGGACCAACAGAGAAATCTCCATGGTGGTGGGGGACCGGGGGGAGCATGGGTTTCTGCCCTGATTGGGGCTTTTATGGTTTCAAGGGCACTCTCTAACTTCCAGCTTCTGAGAGGGAAGGATTTCTGATTGTTAACTTTAAAATCACCGTGCATGTGGCGTGAGGTCAGGGTTGCACCCCTTCAGAATCCAGAGCAGAGGTTCTGGGGTTTCCTTTGCGAAGGACCTCTCTTTCACAACTTGTCAGTGACAGCCAAACCCCCAGGGCATACTTGTCTGGGCCCATGCCTTCTCAGGACGTAAACATTTCTGCGTGTTCCACGGTAGTCAGTAGTCTGTTTAATAAGAGTTCTTATGGGACATCCGACTTCCAAGGGGAAAAAGTCAAAATTCAGGCAGCCTCCCACAGCTTAACCATACAACGTCTCCCTTATATTTGGTTAGTTATGGGCTTAGAGTGTTGACCATGTAATAATTTTCTGGATAAGATTCAGAATAGCTCCAGGGCAAATCCAGAATTTATAGCATCTGTTGTGGCCTGGCAGAGATCAGGGACCTTCGGGCATGAATCCTCACTTCAGTGTTTACAAACTCCCCAAGGGATCCTCGCGTCTGGGGATGCCATAAAGCTTTGCAGGCCCGCTCTGCTCTCGGTATCTACTAATTACACGCTCTGAACTCTGTCAGAAGAGAACTATAGACAGGACAGAGGGGGGGTTCTCTTTCTGCAGAAGAACAGATGTGTGGTGAACAGTGATCGTGGCTAGTGCTAGGCATGGGAAGTATGGTGGGCCTTTCAGGCCCCTTTAATGCTCCCGGAAGCTGATTTACCAGCCATGGGCCAGATGCTCGGCTGGAGCTGGGGCTCTCGGCTGGTGTGGGGCGTCTCGTCGCTGGCCTGCCACCAGCCACGTGTCTGTCAGCATAGCATGAGCAGTGACTTCTCTTCACCCCATCAAGGAGGCATTTGAACACTGGGGAAATGGAGAAAACCATACACCACAGAGGTGTTCTGGGATCTCGGGGCTTCCCTTATCCTCAGAGCGCGTCTTCCGCAGATATATCACGTGCCCCGTTTCATGGATGCGTAAACTGAACCTTAGAGAAGAGTCTTAGAGTGTTACTCACTGGACTGAGATAAAAATTAGATACAAATGGAAGCAGTCCTCTAGAATGTTCTCCTAGAGATTCTAAACCTGTTAAACTGTATCCTCAAGAATGAAGGTGGTCCCTGTGCCCACATGCCATTCGTTGGAGTGTTCTTGTGGCAAGGGAAGCAAGATGTGGCTGTGGTCCCTAGTGGACCACTGAGTGACCAGACCAGATTCCAAGAGGAACATTTTTGGCTTTTCTGTAGAGGTAAAATGTCACTCACCCATATGTCGAAAGGCCATCAGACCCTTCTGTAAGGTTTATTTCCAAGAAAATGACCTTGACATCTACTCTCGAAGATAAGGACAGTTACCTTTAGCAGGGTTGGGTTGAAGCAGTGTTCCTAGACTCATAAGCCCTCAGAAGTGGAAGTGGGCGTAGAGATGGGTTATTACAACCCTCAGAGACGATCACGTCCTCAGAGGGGTGGGTCAGCCCAAGGCCACACAGCTTTCCTGTCACCCTTTTCCAGGGCGTCAGGGGACTTTAGACGTCTTCCTCAATTTGGAAGCACGGTCAAGCTCCAGTCTTCTCTTCGCTCAGGGGCCTCATCTAGCCCGATGCCCTGTGTGTGTGCCTGGGACTCTGTGTGTGTGTGTGTGTGTGTGTGTGTGTGTTTGTGCCTGTGTGTGTATGTGTTTGCACACGAGTGTGTATGTTCCTTCGGATCTTTCCCCGTGGTTCCTTCTGCCCTCCTCGTGTAAGAGCACAATTGTGTAGGAGAATGGCAGAAGACGAACCCCCTCATTGTCCTGAGGACTCTAATTCAGCCTCTTTATTCCAGGTGAAGACGCAGCCCTAGAAGCTTCCTCGTGTGGGCTGGCGGGGAGGGCGTGGGAGGGACGTGTTCTACTCGGAGCTTTCAGGAGGGCCGGCGGGATCAGTTGGATCTGTGAAGACAGTCTCGCTGTTTTACCTGAAATTAGACGCTGATCCAGTGACGTCTTATTGAACGGGTTCCACCGAGCGGGGGTAGGAGGAGGGCGGAGGAGTTTGGAGATGTGACTCTTCCCTCGGATGTCTTCCCGGTCACCCTCGTCACCACATCGACTTGCCCCCCCCTCCCCGACTGTTCAAAACCCAGCCCACGGGTTTAGAAGTCCACGAACAAAGCTGCGGGCGGGAGCGCCGCCCCCCTCCCCCACCCCCAATTCCACCACCACCCAGACCCCTGCCCGTGATCCTAGGAGTGGAGGCAGCGCCCTCTCCCGGCGGACGTTTCCCCTCTCTGACAAGTCCCTGAGCCAGCGCCACCGAGATGACTGCCCCCCCCCCCCCGGTCTCAGCGGCACTGGGTCACCCGCCCCGTGGGGGTGCCGTGTCGGGGAAGCCTAGCGGGCCCAGGCGTCCGCTGGAGCCGCGCTCCGGAGCAGAGGGGAGCCCTCGGCCTCGCTCGGCGCCCCGCAATTAGGCGGCCGCTGAGCGGAGATGCCGGGGGCCCAGGCCGGGCCGCGGACGGAGACGTCACCCCGGGGCCTCGTCCTGACCTCGAGCGGATTTACCTGCCCCCCCCCCCCCCCCCCCCCCCCCCCCTTTCCCCCGGCCCCCCCCCCCCCCACGCGCCAGCCCCCTGTCGCCCCACCCGCTCGCCGTCCAGGGCACACACCTCCCACCCGGGCCACAACCCTGACACACGTACACCGCACGTCTCCCACACACGTCCTCACACGCCCCACGTCTCATGCCGCGTGTGCGCGCGCGCACACACACACACACACACACACACACCCCTCCTCCTCCCACACCCATCTCACACACACACACACACACACAGCTCTTCCCACACCCCACGTCTCACTTACACCCACCCCCACACACACGCACAGCTCCTCCCACACCTCCTATCACACACACACCTCCTCCCATATCCCGCATTTCACACACACAAACACACCTCCTCTTACACCCCGTGTGTCTCTCACACATACATGCCATTACCTGTCCAGCCAGCCTTTCTCTGAGCTTGTCCCTCTACTTTCATCAGCCTTTGTGATTCCGTGTGCCATTTGAGAGCGGCTTTTTCTACAGCCAAAATGACAAGATCATCAAATGCTCCTTAAGTATTTCCTGGAGCCCAGTGGGCAGCTGGGGTCAGCCTAGAGCAGCCCACGACTGGGGACCCTCTTCCCCCCCGGGGCCACGTCTGGTTCTTGGACCTCCTTCCTACCCTCTTGCTCAGGGGAAGGAACAGGTGTCTTTTCGTTGCTGAGTTGCATCTCTCCAGTGCTTCCTTTACCTCCTGAGTGCCCCGCGAAGTCCCAAAGCCCTCCCCCGAAACCGATGGCCCTAGATTGGGTATCCCCTGACTTTGCTGTGTTGAGTGAGCTGAGATAACAGCTCACAGAAAGCAGGGGTCCCAGAAACAACGAGAGGGGGCTGCTGGGGACGAGTCTCTGGCTCCCCCAAGGGTTGCGGGGGGCCCAGCCCAACACCCGCAGGCCCCCTCCCAAGGGTGCAGAAGGGAAGCCCCGGCTGGACTGTCTTCTGAGCACGTCTGTGCGGCACGCCGACCCCTGCCCTAGCACGGGCTGGGCCGCTGCCATGCCCATGAGTTCGCCACAAGTCCCAGAAGAGCCTTCAGTGTCAGGACATTTGCTCACCTCCACGGGCGGCCATCAAAGGGGGTGCGCGAGAGGGTGACGAGGCCAGCCTCCTGAAGTGAAAACCGTGTGCTGGGAAGAGGAGTGGGCTGGTGTCTCGCCGTTGCCTTCGACACCAGCGGTTGTGGGCCGAGCAGGGTCCCCCTGCCCCTTCCGGGCCCCCGGCCCCCTCCGCAGCGTGCCCAGCTTCTCCTTCCGCTCTCTCCGCAGGACTTCGGGAAGTGCCCACGACTGAGGCTGTTTACTCAGGAGTACATCCTTGCCTTGAACGAGCTCAACGCGGGGATGGAGGTGGTGAAGAAGTTCATCCAGAGGTGGGTCTCCCAGGGGGACCCCCGCCCTGCCGTGCCTGCCAGCCGGCCTTCCTCTCCACCCCAGAGCTGCGCGTCCCCTGACGCCCCGAGGGAAGCCGGGGGTGTATCTGGGCCCTGAGCATCCGTGTTCTCTGGCGGTCTCCGGCACTTACTAGCTCCGTGACATTGAGCCAGTTGCCGTACCGCTCTGGTCCCGTCCACGCCGCGACCCGTAGGAGTTGTTGCGTAATTAAAGATGATGTAATATGTGAGGAGGCCCCTAGCGCAGTACCTAGCGCTCGGTAGGAGGTCAGGAAACGGCAGTCGTCCTAAATAATAGGATTATTTCCGTGGGTCCACCTTGGGTCTAGAAGTACTGAGTGTGTAAGGAGACAATACCCCTGAGGCCCTGCAGAGCCATCACTGGGGACTTGTACAGCCACCTCCCCAACTTGGGCAAGAGGAAGCCAGAGATGCTGGTTCTTACTCCCTTCCAGTGTTTCGGAGGAGTGGGGTTGCTTTTTCTTTGACTTTTAAATTTTCTCTCTGTGCCTTGGTTTCCTCCTCTGCAAACTGAGAACCAGAGTGGGCGCTTCGCCCAGTTCATGTGCAGACCCCGTGAGCTAATCCACGTAAACGCCAAGAACTGTGCGGATGTGACGAAAATGTTCGCGATAGTTGTCCTCACTCCTCTCATCATTTAAGAAAATCAAAGCAGCCTGTTTAAGCCGGTTTTGAAACTATGCGTTTCTAAATAGACTCACCTAGAATTCACAAAGAATTTCTAAACCCAAATGAAGTGTCCTTCTGGAGGAGCCCTGGTGGCTTCAGGGTCCCTTTATCAGGACCCAGTTATGGTTTGTGAAATTTTTTCAGGTTAGGCCTCTCTTACCCTCCGGGGGCCACAGTGATTTTCCAGGAATGTTATGGGTGTTATTCCCAGATACCGAACAGCCCTGGGAGAGGGGTATTAGCCTCATTTTACAGATAATATAAAACTGAGGCACAAGGATAGCCATGATAAATACCTATAGCTAGCATCCAGGGAGGACTTAGCAAATGTGTCCCAGACGCCATGCTGGGCCAGGGTGACTGTAATAATTTTTCTTTCAAAGCAGGCCGCTTTTGGGAGTGAAATGCAGTATCACGAATGATTATTCCAGAACCCCCAGGCACAGACATGACTGTCTCGGGACGTAGGACTGCCATATGCTGAGTCTTCCCGTGGGTTAGAAAAACTGGGTCCTTGTAACCCACTGAAGAGGAGGCCACATCCCCGTTTTATAGCTAAGCACATGGAGAGTGGAAAGCGCGAGTGATTTGCCAAGGCTGCTTAGTTGGACTTGAACCCAGGCACCCTGGGTCTCGAGCCCGTGGCCTGGAGCTTGGCTCTCTGCTGCCTGCGCCTGGCAGAGCCAGGACCCGGCACAGGGCTTGGGCCACCCCCTCCCCCTCCCCCTCCCCCTCCTCCCTGCGTGGGCATCCCCGCTGCAGCCGCCAGCTCACCCTGCCCCCTGCTCTCTTCCAGCATGCACGGCCCCACGGGGCACTGCCCCCACCCCCGGGTCCTGCCCAACCTGGTGGCCGTGTGCCTGGCTGCCATCTACTCCTGCTATGAAGAGTTCATCAACAGGTCAGTCGCCACCACCAGGAGAGCCTGCAGGGGTGGGGGGGCACGCTTCCACCCTCGGATGGGGACACTGAAGGGCCGGGTCGCCAGGGAGGGCGGCCTGTACCTGACCCGGCCGGGGACGTGGGGCGGCGTTCACTGGGACTGCCTCCGGTCGTTTGCCAGGCCCAGAACCCACCAGGACCTGGGGATGTTACCAGAAACACAAACACTGTGAATCAACATTGGCAACTGCAAGGCTGTTGTGTTGACTTGGCCTTAGGAACAAGTGTTTTATTCTGAAGGTTTCTCACCGCCTGGCACATCTGGCACGCTGAGGCTCTCACTGTGAGAGAGAGAGAGAGAGTGTGTGCACACAGGTGCGGTGTGCGTGAGGGGCCGTGTCGGGTGTGTGCACATGTGCACGTGAGTGTGTGCATGTGGGTGCACAAGGGCTGGCAGTAGCTTTCTCCCTTTCACTTTGTAAACACGGGATTTCGTTTTGCCCAGGGTCTGCGTGTGTTTCCCGAGCGTCTGTGTGTGTGAGACAGTGTCAGACGCTGCTGGGGGATAACGTGCAGTGGTCAGGATCGAGCCGGATGGAGTCAGGCTGTGAGAACACGAACACAGAGCCCATGTGGTAGAGAAGGACTGGAAAAAGGCAGGATAGGGCACTGCCTCGGGTCCTCCAGGGCTTGGGTGGAGCAGCTTATGAGGGAGGCAGCCCTAGGAGCTCAGGGAGGGGGCCCGAGGACAGCGGTGGAGTCTGATGACCATTGCGGACACCCGTGCGTTCCCCACTGGGACTTCCCAGGAGACTGCGTGGAACACGTCTCACAGTCATTCCCCTGAGAGATGATGGTGCTGTGGTGGTTACTTACCGCCTCCATTCTTTCCTGGTGGAGGCTCGCTCTTGGGATGCACAGCGACGCAGATGCCATGAGTTTGTATAGAGCTTTATACAGTGACCTCTCCGGTCGTTGGAGAGGATATGATGTGTGGGACCAGGTGGCATCTGTTGTAGCTCCCCTGTCCAGTTGTTCAGGTGGTACACTGCACGATTCCAAGGACACCAAACTAGGCCTAGCTAGAGCTGGGGACATAGCAGGAATAAATTTCAGCCCCTAAGGAGAAGACAGTGGAGGGACACCTGGGTGGCTCAGTCGGTTGAGTGTCTGACTCGAGTGCGGCTCAGGTCATGACCTCGCAGTCGTGGAATCAAGCCCTGCATCTGCTCCACAGTGAGCGTGGAGCCTGCTTTGGATCCTCTCTCTCTCTCTCTCTCTCTCACTCCCTCCCTCTCTCTCTCTCTCTCTCTCTCTTTCAAAATATACAAATAAACATTTTAAAAAGTTTAAAGAGAAGAAGGTGGGGCATTCTGAGACACTGAAAATCTGGACAAGTGAGGCTTGTAAAACAACCAATGTACTTTGAGCTCCTGGGGAAGGGGCCACAGACCCTTAATAAGGGTATATTTTCTTATGACAGGGCCTAAGAAGGGAGGATTTCTATTTTTCATGTCCTTAGCCCTTGGTCCTGATATTCAAAGGGGACCTGTCCAATCTTGACTCATTTCCCTGTTCAGGAGGTGATAGTGTCCCTGGGGCCAGAACAGGAAGATGTCATGCCGGTCAGTCCCAAGTGCTTGTTCTGTGCCTACAGCGTGTTATGTTAGAAGCAAAAGACACACACACACACACACACACACACACACACACATACCCACACACGGGAGATCAAAGGGTAGCGCATGGCTTGGACAACGGACAACTATCCTAAGCATCCTTGTGCACATGGACGGTCTCCCACCCTTGACCTCCTCACTGCAGTTCTGGAGCCGATCTGAGTGCATTGCCACCTCGGGCCACCCTAGGAAGCAGGAAGAGAGTACTAGGAGGGTCACACACTCCCAGGCTCCTTTTCCTCCAAAGGCCTGTGACTCATCTCGGCCTCCCTGAGCCCACGCGGCAGATGCCTGGCCTGGAATCGGGAGGAGGCAGGAGCAGGAGCAGGACACAGCACCTCCCAGAATTTTCCCTCTGTGTCCTCGAAGCTCTGCTCGGGTGCCTCAGCCTTCGTCTCTCTTGCCCACTCAGCCCTCGTTTAGTGACCGCTCATCACGCGCCAGGTGCCACAGGCACCTAGGTGAACCAGCTAGACGGAGCCCTTGCCCTTTCAGAGCAGACAGTGTAGCAGGAGATGGAGGGGGAGGGAGGGAAGGAGGGAGGGAGCAGTCACCGTGCGCCTTGGTCAGGGCTGCGACGATGGAAGCCAGAGGCATAATTAACATGGTCTGTGACGGGGAATCTGAACCCTGGCTGCTATCAGTCAGCTGGGGAAGGTTTACACAATCAGAACATAAACGTAGCACGCATATACCCTGTGACCCAACTCCGTATAGCTTTTGGTATATCCACCAGAAGACACACACGAGAATGTTCTGGCGGCATTATTTGTAACTGCTCCTCACTCAAATCTGCCTCACCCTCCTCTCCAGTGTCCTTCAGCAGTGGGATGGTTGGACGCTTGGGGTGTGTTCACACAGAGGAACGCTAGAGAGTGGCAAGAATGGATGAACCCGAACGAGCAAACTGTGAATGACTCGCACAAATGCAAAACTGACCAAAAGAGGCCAGATCCGAAAGATACATACGGTGCGATTCTTTTTCCCGGAACTTCAAGAATAGGCAAAAGGAATCTGTGGTGATAGAGGCCAGGAGAACGGCCACCTTTGGGGTGGGGAGTCAGAGGAAGGGCATGAGAGAAACCTCTGGGTTCCTGGGAGCGTTTCACATCTTGCTGTAGGTCAGTGGTTTGAGAACCAGTTGAGACCGGGAGCCGTCTTGACGCCCCAGGGGTATCTGGCAGTGTCTGGAGACATTTGGGGCTCCCGTGACTTGGGCCGGAGTTGGGGTGCTGGGTGCATCCAGCGGGTAGAAGTCAGGAATGCTGCTCAGCATACTCCCACGTGCAGGATGCCCCTCCTCCCCCCGCCCCGGGAAACAGTCTGGCCCCGAGTGTCAGTGGCACCAAGGGGGAGGAGTCCCGATCTGGTGGCCGGTGGGAACGTGTGGAAGTTCACGAAGCCCTGCACCTGAGGTTTACGTACTTGACCGTACCGTATTTCGGTTACGCCCAGGGTGTGCCGGAGCCCTGCTGCGTTTGGAAGCACGTCGCTTCCCGGCCCCGTACTCAGTGGTGGCACCTTGGCGGTTTGGAGTTGGTCCTGATGGGAGCATTCACACTGGCAGATGCCACAATCAGGGCTCCCTTTTCCTGGCAAGTTGTTGTGGCACGTTTACAAGCATATGGGTCATAAAAAAGAAGAGAAAGGGGGGTGGTGCCTGGGTCCCATCCGCTGTAATTTTGATTTAATTGGGATGGCCCTGGCATTGTTTGTTTCTTGTTGTTTTTTTAATTTTAAACTTCGCAGGCAAGTCGAGTGTGTGGCCAGAGCGGAGAACCCCTGCTCTAGGGGCAGGTGAGGGAGGGATCCCTCGGAGAGGTGATCTTTAAGTTGAGAGCCCCTGGCTGCCAGCAAGGCAGGAGGCAGGACAAGCTGATCCAGGCAGAGAAAACAGCATGTGCAAAGAAAGGCCTGGTGGTGCAGGTAGGGTTGGCATTAGTCACCTTTTCCGTCTGTGGTCCTTAAACACCTGCCTCAGAATCCCCAGGCTGCTTCCTGAAAATGCAGACTCCTGGACACAGCATTTTCAAGTTGGGCCCAGGAATTTGCATTCTTGGCAGAGTCCGTAGGTGATTCGCTCCTTGATGAAGGCCACTGCAGGGGAGAAAGGGAGGGCAACGGTGTGACGAGCAGAGAGCAAAAGAGAAGCAAAGGGCAAATTGGAGAGAACGGCCAGACCAGGCCGAGCTGCTCCTGGGGGTCGTGGTAAAATGCAGATTCAGATTCAGCAGGTCCCAGGCGGGGCCTGAGACTGCTTGCCTAACAGCCTTGTAGTAAGGCTGAGGCTGCTACTCGGGGACCACACTTGGAGTGGCAGAGCTGGCCTTGTGTTTGGGTTGTGGAGTGTTCTTTCTCAGAGCCCTGGGGTCTCCGATAGGATTTAAGTAGAGAAGGGACTTGACGAGATGTCAGTTTCCCAGGTCCCCCCTGGCTGCTGCACAGAGGATGGACTGGAGGGGGCAAGCTTGACCGTGGGCGGATCACAACCAGGGGCCCAGGGTGGAGGCCAGGGGAGGGCGAGGTGGGTCCCAGCCCCCAGCTCAAAGCGGCCCAGCCCCCTTGGAGCCTGGAGTAGTTTCCTGTTAGTCCCTCCAGGAAGTCACCACAAGGCCTGCGGTGCTGCGAGGTCTTTCCTGGGCTCAGGTCCATCCCACCCTTGGCGGTCAGTCCCTGGAAGATAAAGCCCTGTGGGTCTGTCCACAGCGCTCTCGGTGGGTACATGATGTACTCACTGAAGAACAGACAACTTGACCCAGGTTAGCATAGCTTGCTGGAAAATCACCCGCTCTGAGCCAAACAGCCTTGAAAATCCACTCCTAAATCCCAGCAAAGGCAAACACAGGGAAATGGAGTGTTGAGTATTTGGGTAGCAAATTAGCTCTGAGCCCATGGAGACAGTTACACTGCCCGCCCCCCACCCCCACCCCCACCCCAGACCACACACAATTTTCCATCAACTGTTGAATTCTCGGACTTTAGCTAATGGGTTTTGTTCTTCCCTAGCAAAGTTTAAAGTGTATTTATCAAACATCCTTGGTGGGCTCGGCTCAGGCCTGGTTGTGGCCCATGCTGGGTAAATTTAGGCCTTCCAGGTGCATTGGGTCTGAGGTCTATGCTCAGCCCAGGGCTTATGCACAAGGAACGTGTGCTCTCTTTGCAAGCACGGGACACGTGTGTGTGGCACATTTAGGGAGGGCCTGGACGAGTGACCATTTGCAATTATGCCGTCATTCTCTGAGTGCCTCGGAGCAGTGAACTTAACCTTGACCGCACACATGGGGAACCCGGAAAGTTACTGGTGTGTGGACCCCACCCCAGAGGTTCTGATCGAATTGGGCTTCAGGATGTTCAGAAGTGCCCCCGGGGGATGTTGTATCCAGCCAGGGGTGGAAAGCTCGGCCTCTGGGGGCAGAAGGGTGAACATGGCACCGGAGAGAAATCAGGGAAGACTTTTTGGAGGAGGGGGATCTGCACAGGACCACATGGGATCTCAGAAGCCACGTGGTGGTGAGGAGCCAGGGATTTATAGTCAGAGACCTGGCTTCAATTTCCAGCCCCCTCCACTTACAAGCCATGGGGTCAGGGGTAGATCATGTGACCTCTAGAAGTGTCTTTCGTCACCTGGAACTAGGAGATGGTAATGCCGGCCATTCAGACGTATCTGAGAAGGTGGTCTGTGATAGTACTTAGCGCAGTGGCACCGACAAAGGAAGCCCATTGCTGGAATTGCCTTCACTCTAATGAGCCTCCCAGTAATGTTTGGAAGCACCCAGTGTGGAGGTGCTTTAACCAGCCTCAAGGTTCTGACAAGTCCTGCTGCATAGAGGCCTAATTTCATTGTGCTTGGCCCAGCGTTTCCCACACAAATACGACATCAGTGATGCCATCGAGGCCTTTTCTCAGTGAACCCCTGTTAACAAGCATCATCCTTCCAGGCCGGTGGAGATGCTTTAGCTGCGGGTTCGGCCAAGGGCAAGGCTGATGCCGTGGGCTGGAGGTACCCGCAGACTGCAGGCGACTAGAATTCTGGGGTTTGGGATCCACCTGGGAAGTGGGCTCCCAGGGGAGCTGGATGCTGAGCCTCGTCACCTGACCAGGGACGGGCAATAGAAGTGGGGCGTGGGCCTGCCCCCAGGAGAGAGGGGGGCAGCTGGCCCCCAGGATGCAGCTAGAAGCACAGGCACTTAGTGGATCTCACGGGTGGCCCGGGGAGGCCTGCGGCGGAGGTGAACGCCAAGGCCTTGTGGTATCCGTAGACTCTGACGTTTACTCATTCATCCATCACGTGTGTGTTGAATGCCCCCCTCGAGCTGGGACTGCTGCAGGAGCCTTCGAGACAGACGCTTAAGCGTGGATGCCGTCTCCACCCCTCCCTGCCTTGAGACCTTGAGCAAACCACAGGCGGAGCCTCAGTTTCCTCACTCGCAGGCTGGGACATGACAGCACTAGCTCACAGCACTGCCCCCGGGGGCTCCTGGGGTGGAGCCCGGGGCGCTCGGGACTGTCGCTTGCACGGTGCTCACACACCCTCTCCACCTCTCCCCGCAGCCGTGACAACTCCCCCAGCCTGAAGGAGATCCGGAACGGCTGCCAGCAGCCCTGTGACCGGAAGCCCACCTTACCTCTGCGCCTTCTGCACCCCAGCCCGGACCTGGTGTCTCAGGAAGCCACGCTGTCCGAGGCGCGGCTCAAGTCCGTGGTCGTGGCCTCCAGCGAGATCCACGTGGAGGTGGAACACACCAGCACTGCCAAGCCGGCACTGACGGCCAGCGCGGGCAATGACAGCGAGCCCAACCTCATCGACTGCCTCATGGTCAGCCCTGCCTGCAGCACCATGAGCATCGAACTGGGTCCCCAGGCCGATCGCACGCTCGGCTGCTACGTGGAAATCCTCAAGCTGCTGTGAGTGTCCCCGCCGCGCGCCTGTCACTGCCAGGGTGGGAGAGGGGAACTTGGCTGCGCGGCCGGGTGCAGCCGTGCCTGCTGGTCCGAGGCCTGCAGGGTGAGCGTGCTGAGTGTGTGTGTGTGTGTGTGTGTGTGTGTGTGTGTGTGTATGCGCGCGCACGCGCGTGTGTACTGAGGTGTGTGTAAACGTGACTGGGTGCCCCGGGTGCAGATTTCGGCTATGTGTGCATCTTGAACACATGCTCTGTGCGTGAGAGTGTGTGCGTATGCGGGGGGTGTACGTAGGGTGTGTGGGCTCGTGTATGCTTGAGTATCTGGGCACGTGTGCAGGCTGTGTGCATGAGCTTGAGAACGTGTGTGTAAGCCTCTGCGTAGAGCTGCCAGGATGTCCACGAGCACATGGGTGCCCAAATGTGTCTATGAGCGTGTGAGTGGGAGGGGGTTGCCTGAGTGTGTGTGTGTGTGTGTGTGTGTGTGTGTGTGTGTGTGTCTGCATATAGAAGTGGATGTGTGATGTACATGGATCATTCTATAGGGGCCGATATGTGTGTTGAGTGTGCCTGTGTGTGTAAATGCACAGTGCCTGAGTGCCTGTAAGTGCACAGGGATGAGGGGCTGTGAGTGCACACATGTGGGTATGACCATTTGTGCACAAAGGCTGGAGTGTGTGTGTGTGTGTATGTGTGTGTGTGTGTGTACAGACATGCCCGTGAGCTAGCCTGTGACTGTGTTTCTGTATCGTGTGATCTGTGCATGCTCTGTGTGCCTGTGTGTATTTCTCGGCAAGTCCCGGCCCCTCACCCGGCCTGGCCCGGTGGGCGGTGATGGAGTGTGGCCTGCCGATCAGCTCCGTGCAGGCCTGGCTAGTGGGAAGCAGACAGGAGACCCGGTTCTGCTGCGGTCGGTGCTGCTTCTGAGCTGGGTGCTTCGGGCCCAGTCCTCCCGCTCCCTGAGCCTCAGTTGTGCGGCTCTACAGTGAGGGGGTCTTAATATTTGACCCTTGAGGGTCTTTCCACTTCTGCCATTCACACGTGAACCACCCAGACCCACCTCAGTGTCGTGCACCTGCTTCCTGCATCCGCAGGTGAAGGAAGGGGCCCCCCTTGGTCCGGAGACCCCAGCAGATGCCTCCCCGTGTGGCTCCCATAAGGCCTGTTCTTCAGACAGAGCTTGGCCCCGCTCTCAGGACCGGGTCCCAGACCCGGCATTTCCAGGCACAACCACTGGGGGGTGGGAGGCTTTTCAGAGGGATCACGGTATGGGTACGACTGTGTGGTTACCCCCGAACAGTGCGTGGTGCCTGTCTAATGACCGGGCACCGGGGCCCCTCAATCCCGGGGGACGCCTGGCTCCTGGGCCTGGTCGGTGCTGCCGGGGTTTCACCGCGTCCCTGTGCCTACACGACTCCGCACGGCATGCTTTGTCTCTCTCACGTATTGCTGCCCTGAGCGCGCTCCTGGGCTGGACAGTGCAGGACAGCCTCTCGGTCGCCTGGAGAGCCAGAGAATTGGACTGGGAGGTGCCTGGGGGTGTCCCCCATGCTGCACAACCAAGGCCTGTGGTATCTGTGTGCACACATACCTATGCATGCATGTGCACACACACACATACACACGCGTATGTTATACAGTGGCTTCTTGTGGCTTGAGAGAAGAAGAGAGAATTCGGGTGCGGCAGAGGCCAGCTGAAGGCACGTCCTCTGTCCTTCCTTTGGCCCCTGAGAGGGGAGGGCGAGGCCTCCCCGGGTCCCCAGGGTCAGCGCCAGCCTCAGCATCTAGCAGCAGAGGCCAGCTGAGGGCGCAGCCACTTTTAGCGACCTCCTCACACTCCCACACCAACCGAAGGAAACTCCAGGTTCTGCTCGGAGGGCATTGCTGAGAACACACGTCCGTCTCTCTAAGGCAGGGGCAGTCCCCACTTGCTCCCAAGAGCAGAAGTCAGCCTTCCGGGGGTAGGTCAGCCGTGGCCCACGTCTCCTCCTCGCCCTGGTGGAGGCAGGGTCCCCCAGGCCAGAGACGCCCCGCGCTCTCCTCGGCCCCTTACTTCTTCTGGCTGTTTTCCACAAGCACCTGGAACCCCAGGCCTTCTGGCCCCGTCCCTGACTCCGATTTCTCATTAAGCATCAAGGGTTTGTGTTTCATCATGCAGCTGACACGCGGTTTTTTTCCTTCTTCACAAACACGCTCACGAATGCGGACTCTGTTCTGCCTGGTCTGCTTCTAGGCCTCCTGTCCGCCGTGGTTGTGTAGCCATCAGGGCATGGCGGGGGTGGGGGGGGGTGTGTCAGGTGTCGGGCGCTGCCCACCGGGAGGCGGTCCTGACCACTGCCCGGAATAGCACCTCACCCCTGCCTGAGGGTCTCCACGAAGCTGGTTTATGTTTCCAGAAGCCTTTTCACCTTGGGGTGGGACTGCCTCAGAACACAATTTGCACCTGCTAAACTCTTCCTGGCCCTTTCGCTTCTCTGACCCTGCTGCCTGCTTGCGTCTCTGGCCCACCCAAGGCCCTCAGACCCGCCGGACCCACAAACCCCTGCAGCTCCACGGGGTGACACGTTGGAAATGACGCAGATTCAGAGCCAGACTGCTGAGTCCAGGGCTGTGGATGCCAGGAGGGCTTGTGGCCTTGGACGAGTTACGTGTCCTCTCCGAGCTACACCTGCCTCCAGGACGTTCTCTGGGCACCTTACAGGCACAGACGCTAGGCCAGTGGGAGTTACCGCACTTTCTGGGTATAACGGGGTTTCCTCTGTTTTAAGACACCGTTGGGAGTGAGGTGCGTTCCCGATTATATAGCGCTTTGAGGGGAAGAAAGCCCCAGTGAGGCATTCAGCACAGAGATCGCAAGAAGCAGGTGTGGTCTGAGAACTGAGGACCTGTGGCCTTCTGACTTAGCCTGCCGTGCTCTGCAGGCCGCGTTCTTGGCACCTCTGGGCCTCGGTTTTCTTGTCCGTACGGTGCGTGTCGTGACGTAGGGCCTTTCTCCTGCCGGCCCGGCTCTGGTTCTTGGTGAAAGTGCACTGCTGTTCCCAACTAGCACACTCCTCAGTCAGAGTTACGTGAGGGAGGGGAAGTGTAGACGATCTAATGTGGAGCGGGGCTTCTGAGCAGGGCGTTGTCGGGGCCACGGGAGCCGTACTTGGAGCCGGGGCCCGGCCTGGCCCATCCACCGGAGCCGGCGCTGCTCTTCCCGGAGCGTGACGGCAGCCCAGCCCAGCCCACAGCCCCGGATTACTTGCTTGTTCCCAGAGGAAGGCGTGTGCATTGTTGGAATCTGACACCTTTGAAAAGTAACATAAACCACGAGAAGTTCCCTGGAGACCCTTAAAAAGGAAAACTATTCCCAGCACAGGCCAGCCTTACCCTTTTGAGGCCCGGGCCGGGTGGCATGACGGAAAGAATGTGGACTCGGGAGGGAAATCCGAGCAGGTTCGGGTCTATAGTAGTTTGGAGTCCACCTCTTAACCTGCTGGGCAACTGTGTCCAACTCACGCATCTATTCGGGCATCCCGTTACCAAGTGCCCCCCCCCCCCCCCCCGCATGCATCCACCGGGCCAGGCTCTACGCTAAATGCCAGGGCTCCCAACTCCTCTCCTGCCCTCAGTCCCTCTGGATCTGAGTGGCGCCAACTACTGGCAGTGGTGACGTCGCTCGCCTGGGGGGGTGGGGTGTGGGGAACTGCTGCACACGGTGGGGGGCCACAGGCAAGGGGCCGCTCTTCCGTCCGGGAAGAGAAGAGACAGACGTGCTGAGGGAGAGGTGGGCACATCCACCCTCTCTGACCAGCTCGAATCTGGCTGTTTGTTCTTTTGCAAAAACCCGGGGTTTGGAAGAGGCCCTGGTGGGCTGGAGGTAAGCAGAAGATGCCTCATCCTCAGGGGCCTTAAGGGAAAATGCAGACAGACGTGGGGTCGTCCCGATGACTGGGAGGCGTCACTAGAACGTAGAAGGCAGGCGCTGGGGAGGGGACACGGGAACTTCAGACATCGCCCAGGGTGGTCCTGCCTGGGAAGGAGCTGCCCCAGCCAGAGGCCGCAGCTCCACTGTGCGCGCCAGGCGCGAGGTGCACGGAGGGGACCGGTCAGGGGCTTGCAAGCCCTGTCACACAAGGAATGGCTGAAATGGCTTCCCACAGGCTGAGGGATGGCAGGGAGGCGGGACGTGACGGTGGGGCCAGGACCGAGTCCGTGAGCGTTGCTGGAGTCTGACACCCCCACCCCGGGGTTGGGGCCCGCGAGAGTCGGGGTTCGCGTTGGGCGCCGTCCGGGCCAGTGTGCCCGGGCCTTGCGGCTTCTCAGGGCTCAGGCTGGCGCGTCAGCTCCCGTTGTGCGGCCGGGGCCACCTTCTCCCCATGCCGCGGACAAGCTCTGTGAATCGGGAGGAAATGGTGTGCTGGGAGGAAGCGTCTCGTCTGCGGGGCAGCTTAGAGCTCTGCTTCGGGCGGCAGCTGTCAAGTCGGCCTGCGGCTTCACGGGGCGTAGGTCACGTCTCCACCAGGCCGAAGCGGCTGGGAACCACCCTGTCCCCGTTTCCTGGGTCCGCCCCTTCACCTGCCCCCCCTTGTCCCTGGTGTCACCCACCCCCAGCACAGCAAGAGAAGGGAACTTCTCAGCCGTCTGGCCTCAGACCATTCGTGCAGTGCGGCGTGAGGCGGGAGACCTGGGCCTCCTGCGCACCGACTCCAGCTTCTCCCCCTGTGAGCTCCGTGGCCTTCGGCGGCTGTCCAACCTCTTTGGGAGCAAGGAGCCTCTCTAGAGCCAGCCCGGCCCCATTAATGCCAGGACCAAGTGTCTGGGGAGTGACACCCGGGGCTCATTGGAGGCCTGCAGGACACTTATGCTACCTCGTGTCCCTTTCCTCCCTGAGCACAGGGCAGGCCTGGCTGCCTTCTTGGGGGTGGGCAGTCAGGCCGCTTAGAGCCTGGTCGCTGATCCCCCCTTCGATCCTAGGCCAGGCTGACCCTGCTCTCCGGAAGCCCACGGCAGGTGCTCTGCTGGCCACGGGGGGCCCACAGCCCACCCCTCGGGCCTGGCCAGCTTCTGGGCACCCAGCCTTTGCCCGACACACCTGCCATGTACCTCCAAACTTGTAGACCTGGGCGTTTGGAGCAGGGCCAGGCGCCGACGACAGACTTGCAACTGGCTTGGCCGAGGCGAGGGAGGAAATCTGCTGCCCTCTCCCTCCTCGTGCCCGAGGCCCCCACGCTCAGCCCCGTGTGAGCTGCCACAGTGCAGCCGGCAGGAGGCCGAGCTGAGGGCCTGGGAACACAGGTGACGCACAGTGCCCCACGGAACGGGCCTGTCGATGCCCCCTTCTGTCCAGGAACGACCCCGGGCCGGGCTGTGTTGCCCTGAAGCCCAGCATGCGCCTCACGCCCGGCACAGCCCCAGCTCCGTGGCCTCTGACACCCACTAATTATGAGCGGTTTAAAGTCTCCTGGAGTTTTCTCTGTTTAATGGTATTTCTACGTAGAACTTTTTTTTTTTTTTTTTTTAAGCAAAAGAATAACCAGGAGTGCCTTTCTCCCTAGAGGGAAGTGGCCTTCCTGCAGAGATGTAAGCGGGAGACGGGGTGTCGTGTCGTTTGGTTGATGGAGCACGGATGTGGGAGCCCGGCTCCTGGGTTCAAGTCCCAGCTCCTACCAGCTGTGTGACGGCCGGCGCTGGCCCTCACTGAGCGTTCTCATCTATAGAATGGGGGTGGCGGGTGCATCCAGCTCAGCAGGTGTCTGGGGCACACGTGGGCCAATCCATGTGCACTTAGAATAGCCTGTGCCCACGACAAGCACCGTTACAGCGTTTGCTCCTGTTTTAGAGTTTCTGGAAACCATGAATCCGGTGGGGGAGGGGGGTGGGGAGGGGTTCAGAGAGAAGACAAGCCAGACGTGAAGGTCACTGAGTCCCCCCAAAGAGCAGCACACAGGTATGGATGGGGTCAGAAGGGGTCTCCACATCCTGATGCGCATCTGACGGGCCTCTGGGCTCCCTGTGCCCAGCCACCTGGCACTCAGAGCTCGCGCCCAGCCTTGGGCACTGGAGTCCAAGGACCCCGCTGTGAATCCCGGCTCCACACTTCCTTGCCATGTGAGCTCAGGTGGGCCTCACTGTCTCACCTGTGAGGCGGGTGTGATAGCTCTTTCACCCTTGAGTGCCCGTCCCGAGGAGCCAGGGAGCAAGTTTGTGCCCGGTGCGCGGCCTCATAAGTGCTTAACAAAGCCCCACAAAGCGGCACTGTTAGAACTCACCTCAGGCCACCAGGCATTTCTGGGAATTCTTTTCTGTGCGTGTGTTGAGTCTTTCCTCAGAGCCCCCCAGGGTGCGAGCTGGGTCCTGAAGGCTGCCGCTTTATCCCTGGCTTGTTTGCAGGAAGGCGGGGCCGGAAAGGCTCGTGCCCAGGACTCCTGTAAACCGTGTGTCGTTGGTGGGGGCCGGTGCCGGCTCCTGGGGGTGAGAAGACCGTAACTGTCGTTTGGGGTGAAGTGCAGACACACAGCATATGAACAGACACACGGTCTATCGGGAGAACGATTAGGGACAAATGTCGAGAAAGCTCCTCGGGGTGGTGGGGGGCAGAGGAGCACCGGATGATGATGAGAACTAAATGGAAACGAGTCCCAGGGCCGTAGGACCATGGTTCCGGTCTGGGTCCTTTCCTCTGCCCGGGCTGGTCCCAGCACCGTCGGCGCCTCCTGGGGGCACCACCAGGCGTCAGTAGGGGTCCAAGTGTAGCGCCCCCTCCTGCTAGGATCCGGGCCAGACTGCACACTCAAGCTTGCAGCTGGGGACACGCACCCCACTTGACAACATTTCCTTCCACCTGGGAGTGAACCCCACACCCTGGCTGCGTCTGTCTTGTGTGTACCGGGGCCGCAGCTCAACAGTCCTCCTCTGGGCACCAGCCGTCCGCCTGGCCTGGTGCCCGGCATGGCAGGTGCAGAGATAAGACGCAGCCCCTCCCAGGGTGCGGGCACCTGGGCGCCCCGACCGTCTGCAGCTCAGGCGGGGCCGCTCCAGTGGCCTCAGTTCTTGTGTGAGGGGTAAAGCACTGGGACCTCGGAGGTGCCCGCCCGGCTTAGCACAGTCGGCGAGAACTGGCTACCCCTGGGTTTGCTTTCTGGCAGAGTCCCCCAAACCAGAGAAGTAGGGGGACCCGGGGCAGGGACAGAGGTCACAGCCCCAGAGGCACCTGAGGTCAAACCCAAACCCCCAGTTGGTGACTTGTGCAAATACGAGGCATCTCTAGGCTTTGTTTTCCTCCTGCAATATGGGTTGTCGTAATTGGGGTCTCGCGGGGCGTCTGTGAGCGTTAAACGGGACCCGTGTGAACGCTGTGGCTCCTGGTAAAGGCTGAGGCACCGCCATGTCCCACACGTTCCTTCCCCTGCCCCTGACCCGGCTGGCTCCCGGGGGGCCGGCTGTGCTGGTACCGTGTGTGGGGCACCCCTGCCGACTCCACAGCGGCCTCCAAAAGCTCTTGCTTCCTTTCTGGGGACCTCTCTCTGCGGTCACCCTGCCAGCTACTTAGCCACTCCCTGCCTGTAATACGGATTCACAGTGGGTGGTGGTCGTGGGGCCGTTTCCGTGGTCTGAGCAGTGAGTGCTCTCTCAGCACATTGCAGCTGTCATGCTCATTCATGCCAAATGTCCCTGTTCTGGCACAGTCGGCCCCTAGGTGGGGGGGGACCCTCCAGTGCCTGGTCTCACCTGAGGCCTCAGCCAAAGCCTCAGCTGCCATCTGTCAGAGGTGGCGAGAGCCAGGCCTGGATCTGATCTCTCATCCACCACAGCTGTGTTAGCGTGCACAGTTAACTTCTCTGAGCCTCAGTTTCCCCTCTGTCGAGTGAGGCTGATTTTCACCGTGAAGAAGAAACAGGCGAAGTTCTTGGCGTGAAGGAGTATGTGCACAACGTGCCGGCGAGGTCGCAGCTGCTGGTATCTGTTCCATTACCGTCATCATCACCGTCATTGGCAGGGACCTTTTTTTTTAGTTTATCTATTTTGAGAGAGAATGTGTGTGAGCAGGGGAGGGGTAGAGAGAGCAGGAGAGAGAGAATCCCAAGAAGGCTCCACACTGTCAACACAGAGCCCGATGTGGGGCTCACGCACAGTGAGGTCATGACCCGAGCTGAAGTCAGACGCTCGACGGACTGAGCCACCAGGCGCCCCTAACAGTGACTGTTCAGGAGAGAAAAGCTGTCATCTGGACAGAGGAGTAGAAGTAGCTGATAAATCAGGAGGGTTGCCCCAAACTGCAAACGAATAGCATACCATTGTTATGTTTTATATGAGTAAGTCTACAAATTTGCCACCGGGTTCTGGACAAAGATGAGAACACCTCTGCGTTCCCCTCATAAGCCCCCCGGGCCAGACCGCTTGGGCGGCCGCAGCAAAATTACACAGACCGGGTGGTTTTGACGACAGAAACCTGTTTCCTCTCAGTTCTAGAGGCCAGAACTCTGAGATGATGGCGTGGGCGGGATGGGTTTCGTCTGAGGCCTCTCTGCTGGGCCTGCAGTCACCTACCTTCCTTCTTCCCGTGTCCTCACACAGTCTTGCCTCCGTGTGCGTGTCTGTCCCGGTCTCTTCTCTAGAGGACGCTGGTCGCACTGGGTCAGGGCCCACCCTCACTGCCTCGTCACACCTTCACTGCATCTGTGTTGCCAAACACAGACACGTTCTAAGGTGCCGGGGTTGGGATTTCAACCTGATAACTCAAAAGTCAGAAGGAACAATGATCTGGTAACCTGGGTGCAGAGGTGAGGTGGGATGAGGCCCCAGGGAGCCAGATGGCTGGCCCCTTCGGTTGCCTGAAGGAACTCTCTGGACGGGTTCTGTCTGTCAGGCTGGCAGACACTGGCCGCTCATCTTCCCAGCTCCCTGGAGGCGGGAGGTGGCTGGAGCACGGTTGGCGAGTCCCCGCCAGACCCCCGCCCCGTCCTTGGCCACAGGCCGAACCTGACTGTCGCCCCTTCTCTCTCTAGGTCGGACTACGATGACTGGAGACCGTCTCTGGCCAGCTTGCTTCAACCCATTCCGTTCCCCAAAGAGTAAGTCCCACACCGGCCTCTGACCTCAGTGGTCCACCGGTCACCCCGGGAACACCGCAGGCGGTGGTGGGGGATGGAGACGTTGGTCCTCAGCTGTGAGGCCCCTGGGGAGGCCCCCCACCTCCGAAACATGGGGAGATTACCTCATGGCAGCGACACGAGGATTCGCTGAGCCAAGCAGGCAAACAAAGCCCTCCCCACCGAGCGTCCGTGCAGGGAAGTTAGCAACTTCTGTTCTGCTTCGGGTGGGAATGGGAATACCTGTCTGTGCTCTCTCCGGTGGCCACAGCGAAAATCGGAAGATAACGCACGTGGAATTGCTCTCTGTGCCATGCCACCATATGCTGAAAGCTCTCTTATTGCACCCATTACGATTATTAGCTTGTGTTCCACAGTGAGTTGGGCCAGAAATGGACCCTCCCCGTCTCTCTCTTGCCAGCCCTTATGCCAATATTGAACTTATCACAGGAAAATAGGTAGAAAACGGTCTAGTGGATAATGGCCTGCGGAGAAGGCTTTGTCTGAATAACCAGGCCCTAAAATGCCTCCAGGTCTCTGTTTTGACAGATGTGGAGAAGCCAGGCCTCAGGAGGCAGCTCAGGGCTCTCTCAGGAGCCGATTAACGAGCCTGTGTTTATGAAATGCGGCTCTCTGAGGGGGACATTATACCTGGTAATTGCCCCATTTGCTGGCCTGGCCCGTCCCTGGGGCCCCCAGGACTCAAGACCGGAGAAATCCGACTCCTGAGAGCCACGGCTGTCTCCAAAGAGCAGTGGCGTCACTGGCTGCGCTCGCTGTCCCCATAGCCCCGGGGACACATGTGACAGTGGGCCCATGATGCAATTCGCTTGGAAAACGGTCCCCAGATGCCCCTCTGATGCACGGCGATAATTAGCACAGCCGCACCTTAATGGTGGAACAATTAGTGCACACACCTGGGTCTCCAGTGCCTGCGTGCACGTGCTCACAGACACCTGCTCAGCACCCACAGGTGTGGGACCCGGGCCGTGGGGGGCTCGGTATGCTCCCGTCGCCAGGATCCTGGCCTCGTCCAAGGAGGCCTTTGCTTCGCAGTTTCCAAGAGGGACAGAATGTGTCTCACTCTCAACCTCCTCCTTCTTCGGATCAGACATAAAGCCGCACCGTCCCCAGAGGAAGATCTTTGGATCACTGAGGGTTTTAAAAGCCCCCCCGCTAACTGCAGTTTCCCTTTGTTTTTGTTACAGAGCCCTCGCACACGAAAAGTTCACCAAGTGAGTATTTGGCCACCTCCCTCATCACCTCCTTCCGGTGCGAATGTCCTCTGCCGCGGCCGTGCTCAGTGGCCAGCCCTCCTTCCAGCCCGTTCTCGGTCACGTGCATAGCCAGGCCTGCCCGAGGGATTTCCTGACCCCGCCAGCTCCCCCGCCCCAGCCCTCCCCTCAGCCCCCATCACCGTCCACACAAGCCAGGACCCTGGCAATGACTCCGCCCCCACCCTGTGTCTTTCAGGGAGCTGAAGTACGTGATTCAGAGGTTTGCCGAAGACCCGCGACAAGAGGTGAGCCTCCCACTCTGCCTCTCGAAGGCACCTTGTCAGGGGCTACGGCGTGATGCCTGTGGGCCACCCTGAGCCTTCTGTGACTCTGTCGGGGCCTCTTTGTCTCCCACAGGCACTCAGAACACTGTACAAAGGCTCCTTGGCCTGGAGCATGAACACAACCGCCACTCCCCCCCCAACCCCCCCCCCCCACCGCTGTGATCAGGGGGTGGGGGTGCCTGGCCCATGATGTCACCCTTTTACTGTAAACTCAGGCTAACCAGAGGTGGTTTGCCACCAGCTGGCGGTTTCTTCTTGGAGCACAGGCCTTGTTAGGGGCGGGCTGGCACAGGGGCTCCCAGCCAGCCCCAGGGTAGTGCTGGTCCCTCTTGAGCCCTGCCGTTCTGACATCCGCAGGCCAGCAAAGACATCGGAGCTGGGAAGACATCTGAGCCGGGCTCTGAGCCGGGGTTCATTTCCTGGGCATGGTGGCTGAGGGCCTCTGAAGGGCCGCTCTGCCCCCCCCCCCCGCCGCCCCCCCGTATCTGGGCTTCAGGGAGAGGTCAGCTTTCCCCCTGAGGCTTCGTGAGCAAGGACTCGGGTGGCCTGGGTTCCTCCGTCCACTGCATCAGGGACATCAGAGACACCTGGCCTTGGTCAGGCGCTCACCCTGTGTCGGGCACCTGCGTTTTCTCCTGGAGTCCTTGCCACAACCACGAGTGGGGTCTGTCGTCAACCCCATTTAACACCAGAATTACCCTCCTTTTGGAGCTGAGTGACGTCTCCTTGGCCACGCAGCTGGTACCTGGCCAAGGCAGGGTTCAAACCCAGGGAGTCTGCCTCCAGAGCCTGTTTGGTAGGTGGGGCCAGGCAGGGCTACAGACATGAGGGGACTCCCACTGGCCCTGCCCCGAGGAGCTCACAGCCCCCTTCTCCAGCTGCATGGATCCTGGGGTGTGATGAGGGGATCTGGCTTCTAGGTGGGGACAGACCCCCAGCAGAGCGGAGGGTTAAGGATGGGCAGAGGACGAAGGGATTCCTTCTTCTTAACAGAGCCAGAATATATTCTCTTCCGGCCCCACGGTGAAACATAGTTCTAGAACACCTTGATTCTAAGCCCTGATTCCAAGCCCCTGCATTTCCCTGGCTGCAATGGGAAAAGCAGAAATGCTAGCTAGGCAGGTCTGGGCTGCGCGAAGCCATTCTTCGCTGCATGTGAAGACAGATTCCCAGAATTCCCCTGGACAGTGAGCCTTTATTTCAAACACCAACTTTGAAGTTGAAGAATAAAAGTGGTCCCAGCTGCTTCCCAGAGCGGAGAAGCAGAGCCAAGTGCTGGGAGGAGACTTTCCGAGCCCCGCACCATACACGAGGCCCGGGGGACTGGTGAGCGAGGGGCCAGGCCGGTCTTGCGGAGGGGTGGGGTGCAGAGGCCCGGCACCGCCCCCCCCCCCCTCCTCGCCAGGCCCTGCTCCAGGCTCCTCTGAACCTCTTCCTTTGATTCTGTTTCTCGTCCCCTCTCTCCCCTCCCACCTTCTGCCTCCTAAAGAAGCCGGACTTCTAAACCGTTTGATACATTTGCGGAATAGAGTTGCATACTCTTGATTCGCTATTTTTTGAAGTAAACAAATTAACATTTGATATTTTTCCGACTCAGAGGGAAAGAAGTCAACGCCCCCCCCCCCGCCTCTGTTTTCTGTTCACTTGTGTGTGGGTTGTGATCAATTGAATATCTGTAAGTAAGTGGCTTTTGGCAGCAAATTGTCCTTCCTTCACTCCTGAAGGAAATGATTGGCCGCTTCTATCAGGTTTCTTCTGAGGACAGAGAGGAGGTAAGAAACAAAGGCCTTGGTTTCCCTCCCTCTCCCTCTCTCTCTCTTTCTCTCTCTTTCTGCAGCTATAGTAGGGTGGATGTGGATGGAATTTCTCCCAAACACACATAGGTGTTTGCACACGCCCACCCACCCACCCACATGCGGAAAGCAGTTGGTGGTCCCAGTGGACAGAGTCCCAGTCCACTCTGGGAAAGCAGTTGAGACCCAGAGAGAGCGGTGCATGTGCATGAAACCGCCCCACCCTGGACAGAGCGCCTTCCAGGGAGAGGCAAAGACTCAGAAGGTGGCTCAGAGGACACACAGCGAGGGCGGCAGGCAGACCCCCAGTGGTGGAGGGGGCAGATGTCCTGAGAGAGCAGGACAGAGGAGGGTCAGAGAGCTGAGGGCAGAAAGCAGGATACAGGACTTAGAGGTGCAGAGAGAGAAGAGACGAAAAAGAGCTGCCCCCTGTGCTGTGCCCAGAAAAAGGCATAGAAAAGGGGACTGAGTTGAAGCAGTAGCTTTGAGCCTGTCTCCCCCTGATCTGTCCACAGACTTGCTTCTATTCAGAGCAGCTAACCAAGCCAGGCCTGGCCCTTCGTCCCGCAGAGCTGATGGGGAACGGCTAGTGTTCCCCAGTTTACAGATGCCACGGTTTTTCCCAACAGGCCTTCTGTGGAATTCAGTAGGAGGTCGGAGTCGCTGGAGTAGACGTTAAACTGATTTCTTAAGTGCGGGACTTGTGGGAGCTGGTCTCGTCTGTGTGATGGGACTGACTGCTGTGCCCCTTCTCTGCTGCAGGTACACTCATGCCTGCTGAGCGTGCGGGCCGGCAAAGACGGCTGGTTTCAGCTGTACAGCCCCGGAGGGGTGGCCTGTGATGATGACGGGGAGCTGTTCGCCAGCATGGTACGTGGGACGGGACCATCAGTGGGCACTGCGGGCGGGGACCGGGTTTGCCCCGCCTGATGAGCGCCAGCACTGTCCCGGTCCGGCAGTGGCCAGCCTGGGAATTTCTGGATGGCATCAGAGCCAAAGAGAAAGATGGTGGTGAAGACGGTGACCAGGAGTGTCGCTTTCTGCCTCTCACCCGAGCAGGCACCAAACCGAGGGCACGAAAGTCCTGTTCTCGCCCCATCTCACTCGGCTCCGTCGGGAGGTGACACGTAGTGTTACCCCGCTTTCCAGGCAGGCAGCAGAAGCCCGCGGCGCTCACTGCCCAAGCTCACGCAGCTCACCGTAGTGGCAACGTTCAGATCGAGCTGCTGAGGGCTCAGAGTGCTCAGAGATTCTAGAAGGCACTGCAGACCCACCAGCTCGCCCGACCTTTGCGATGAGAAGTCAAGGTCAGGATGACCATCTCCTCCGGGAGACGAGAGGTCTGATGTCACCAGACCCACAACTGGGCACCCGCCGCGATTTCCAGTACTTTCTTCGTGCCGGACACTGTGTTGGGCACCTCACGTGCCCTGTTTCTTCTCGGTCTTCAACTTCATCCATAACCACGCCTGTGCTGAGGCAGCTCCGGACAGGTGCCGTGGCTTACCTGAGGCCACACAGGCTTTCAGCCTCCAGGTCCCTCCCTTGATGGGGCCCACGCTGTCCAGAGCCTGCCCTTCCAGGGGCAGCGTGACCGTCTCCTGACAGGGGGGGCACAGACTGTCCTCCAGGTGGCCAGTGACCTCAGCTGTCCCTCCTGCTCGCAACACCAGCTGGGTTCTGTGACCCAGCGTGTTCCCAGCGGCGAGAAAACAGGATTCAGGGGGCCTCTCTGCTGCGCCCTGCTTCGCCCCCTCGTCTGTAAAACAGGGAGTAGAGCGCCAGCCTCTCGGATCACCAGGCGATCGCCTGCAGTGACGGAGGCAGGGCGCCCAGCCAGGGCCTAGCGCACGGCCCGCCCAGAAGTGACAGCTGTGGTTGGTCTTCTCTCTGCTGGGCCGCCCGTCCAACAGGGCCAGCTCGCGAAGCTCTCCGCAGTGACGACAGATCCGGCGCTGCCTCTGGAAGCTTTCTTGAAAGGGACTTATTTTTAGATCGTTTTCCTTACGCACTGGCTCTCCACTCCTCACCCACTGCCTGACAAGTCCCTCTTGAGTGCCCTGTGCATCCTGGAAGTGCACCCCACCTCCCCACTCACGAGGGCTCCTGTGATGTCACAGCTTCACCATGGCAACAGCCGGCGGTCCCCCACCCTGTGTGGCGGGGACTCGGTGTGCAGAAGAACCCGGGGGGCTGGCAGCTTCCCCACCTGAGAGATTGCGTCTGTGCCGGAGTTAACGATGGAGCGGAAAAGATACACGCGGAAAAGGAGGCAGGCAGCCCCTGAGAGAGCAACGCGGTGTTTCCATGGAGACACAGGGGGCAGGAGCGGTCCCCTTGATGAGGCTGCCGTTTCCAACCGTGGAAGGGCATTTGCCATTGCACAAAGGGGGAGAGCACACTAGGCATTTGGGGCCCCGGCCCTGTTGCTTGGGGTCCCCTGCCCTCGGGACCCACCTCTAGAGACACCGGAAAGAAACACTGTCGCCTTAGTGTCTGCCCCGTGTGTAGCCCAGGTGGAGCGGAATTTGCCAGTTCCTGGGTTTCTGGGGCAGGTGATCACTGAGCACCTGTGGAGCTCATAGGGCGCTTGGGAAGGGGAGGCAGGGCTCCCTACAGGTCTCTGTCCCACATGTGGTGGCACCGTATCCCCTGAACACTTACTCCCCGTCCCACCCCTGCCCTGGCAACCACTCCACTTCCCGAATCTGACATCCCAGGCCCCTTCCGTGTGCGGAATCCTACAGGATCTGTCCCTTGTGATCGGCTTACTGAGCATCACATCCCCATGGTTCATCCACACCGGAGCACCTGTCGGTGGGAAGAGGGGGTCTGATGGTCTTTTCAGATCTGGTGTCCAGAGAGGGTGTGGGGAATCCTTCCGGCATGCCACCGGCAGGCATCTCGGGCCACAGCCCCACTGTGGTCACTGCCCTTCACGTGGGCTGTCTCCCGTCATAGGTGCACATCCTCATGGGCTCCTGTTACAAGACCAAAAAATTCCTGCTCTCCCTGGCGGAAAACAAGCTGGGACCCTGCATGCTCCTGGCGCTGAGGGGGAACCAGACCATGGTGGAGGTAAGGAGCTGGCCCGGGTCCCTGGCAAGGCTGCTCTCTTGCCCGGTCCTTCGTCTTTGTTCACTGGGCACCTTACAGAGCCCAGAGCTGTTAGGGCAGCTGGGAGCACAGCGGTGGAGGAGGAAGGTGTGGCCTGGCCTCTCCCAAGTCAAGCAGGAGCGAGAGCCCCCCCCCCCCCCCCCGCCTGTCACAGTTGGTCCCTTTCACTTATGATCAGGGGAGGTTTCTGCCCATTTGTCTATTGCTGTGGAGCAGGCCACCCTGGTGGGGGGGGCTCAAAACAATGGTACTCATTTATTTGGCTCACGGATCTGGGGGTGACTGGGCTCAGCTGACAGGTTCTCACCCTGGGTCTCTCATGAGGAGACCGGGCCAGCTGGGACTCCAGGCCTCTGTCTATGAAGCAGCCTGGGCAGAAGTATTCCTGTTCCCCGGGGAACACACGCCTGGCCCAGGTCCCCCCTGCCTCATCCTAAAGTCCCCAGAAGCCTGGGGCCCCCAGAGCCACTGTCCACAGACAGGATGGCAGAAGCCATGTTGCTCTTCCCGGTGCAGCCTCAGAGTCAGGCAGCAGCACTTTGCCACGTCCTACCCACGAGAAGTGCTGGCCGGTAGTCACGGTGATGGGGATTAGAACACCTCTCGGTGGGCAGAGCATCAGAGAACTTGAGCCCCAGAGCGTCCCTGCCAGTGAGATTTGGGGGCCAAGGAGTCAACAAGAGGCCCCACAGCAGGGTGAGGAAGAACAGAGGAGGTCCGGATGGCTGAGTCAAGGGGTTGGCGATTTTGGTGGATGGGCCCAAAGAGCCTAAGTGCCCAAAGGCCCCGGTGGGCATCTCAGAGGTTCACTGAGATGCTTGCGCAGGAAACTTGCAGGACGGGGGTCAGCAGGGAGCCAGGAGGCAGGCGAGCCGTGCTGTGAGGGCCTGGGCCGGGCAGGCTTTGCTTGGCAAGTGAGAAGTCGCCGGAAAGGGCTGCCCGCATGCTAATCCTGGGTGAGAGGGCCGGAGAACAGAGATCGCGTCGGCTCCCCAAGGCTCTGGGAGGCAGTGTGTTGCAGGTGTCCTCCGGGGCTCCGGTTTCATTCTGAGCCTGTCTTGCGCACCAACCATGTGCCAGGCACAGGGGGATAACTAGGGATGGAAAGAGGTGCCCTGTCCTTTGAGCTCTCTCCCAACCCTTGAGGTCCTAGCATGCATCATTTCTTCCCGCATTTGCCGAGAGCCTGCTCCGTGCTCAGCTGGCTGTGCACGAATGTTCCCGTTGTACAGACGGGATGCTGCGATACGTGATTTGCCCGGGTCACCCAGCCAGGAGGACAGCGAGGGGGGAGCGTGGTTGCTCGTTTGCAGGATGAGATCTCGGGGCACGTGGAGCACGCGGAGCTTATCCGAGACCCCTCCCTGTGGCGCGCGGGGCTGTTGGCACGGGCTGAGGTCCAGCCCTCCGTGCCTTCAAGGACCAGCCCTGCTGTAACGCACCTCCGCTGCTCTCGGGCAGATCTTGTGCCTCATGCTGGAGTACAACATCATCGACAACAACGACACCCAGCTGCAGATCATCTCAACCCTGGAGAGCACGGGCGTGGGCAAGCGCATGTACGAGCAGCTGTGCGATCGGCAGCGAGAGCTGAAGGAGCTGGTGAGTCCCCTGCCCGGCTCTGGGGCGCACGTGCCGGGCCCGCCAGAGCACAGCTGGGTGCAGGGGGACGGAGCCCGGGTCCCCCGCCCGCACCTGCGCGGGCCTCTGTCTCCGCGAGTCCTTCTCCAGACCCGGAAAGTTCGGGGCTACCACCTGCCACTTTCCAGGTGACCGCAGACGTGTCAGGTCGGTGCCCCAAAGTCCCGGAGCTCCTACGGGGCCTGGCCAGGAGTCGCATCCTGCCTCACCCCAGAGCCCTGCGCGGCAGCCACTGCCTCCCTCCCCATATCCCACGGGCCCTTCTTTAAGTGCACCAGGGCTGGGCTTCAGAGGGGTGGTGAGCCCACACCTCCCTGGTCTCTGGGAGCAGCTCTCACCCAGCGGCCAATAGGAGACGGTGTATAAATACTCCAGCTCCCTCGCCGCACAGGTGGGACACCTCTGAGACATGACTTCTCCACCATTTCCCAGAGGACCCCCAGCGGTAGCGGTACCATAACGCTCCCTTCCTGGGGGGCCTTCACCGCCTCACTCGCCCACTCCCCTGCTGGCGTTTCTGGGGATTCCCTCTCTGATAAACCGGCTGTATTCACACCTTGTCTCGGGGTCTGCCCCCGAGACCGAGACCGCCACGTGGCCTTCTGCCGCCGAGAAATAAAATGGCGCTGTGCGTGATGTCAACGGGGAGGGGGGTGTGCAGGCTGGCGGCCCAGGGGAAAGAACGGGTCGTCATCAGTCCGGTTTCTGTTGCAGCAAAGGAAAGGCGGGCCCACCAGGCTAACACTGCCCTCCAAGTCCACGGTGAGTTGGTTTTATTCTCCTGTGGGGCTGGGTAGAGGGAAGAAGGCAGTTAGATTAGACCTCGCTGATGAGGAACTTTAGCCGGTGGAGCTGACCAAGGACCCTGTGGCACTTGACAGGCCAGCTTTTCCAGGAGGGAACCAGGTTCCGGGAAACCACACACGGTAGATTGTCGCTGGTATTAATGTTAATACGTTACCAGTTAATAATAGTACTAATAGCTAATATACATTGAGCATTTACGTACCGGGTACTGGGCTGTTCGTTTTATCGCCACAACAACACCGTGAGGTTGGCGCCTCTCTCCAGCCCCACTGACAAGGTCTTCGGGGATCTTAGTTCCTCCTATCCTGCGCCGCCGTCCTTGACATGAGGTTTCCACCTCGTGGTCCAAAAAGGCTGCTCAAGCCCTGGCCATCAGGTCTCCATTCACGCCAGCAGAAGGAGGAAGAGCAGAGAAGAACATGCCCCTTCCCTTTAAGGGCTTTCCGAAAGTTCTCCTGGACACATCTCCCTGTATACCGTTGTCCAGACTCGGCACACGGCCACATCTAACTGGGAGATTAGCCTTAATTCGGTGTGGCCGTGTGGCAGCTAGAATCCAAGGATTCAATAAAAGGGAGAGCGGACCTTCCCCGCAGCCGCCTGGTAGTCTAGTGCTCACGCGTGTCTTGCCCTCCAAAGGCCTTAGAGGTGGGGGGACCTCAGTGTTCTCAGGCGGGCAAAGGGCCCAAGCTGCTGCTTGGAAGGGGAGCTGGCCAGGTACACACGTCCGTGTGCACGCACACACGCCTGTGGGAGGGACGTGCCTCGGAGCACCCCAGTCGGTGACTCAGGGTGTGAGTCACGGCACTGGAGGCTTTCTCCCCCACCCACGGGGACGTGGGGGCAGCCGCTCCCAGCACCCCCCCTCGGTCCTACCCCCCCCCCCCAAGCCGCACCGTCACCACTGCTGCAACTGTCTACGGGGCAAGGGAAGGGAGGTGGGGACAGGGGTGCGGAGGGGTCTCCGGAGCGCCTGGCAGCCCCGGGCCTTCCCCAAGAGCCCACCGCCTGTCTGTTTGCAGGATGCCGACTTGGCTCGTCTGCTGAGCTCCGGCTCTTTCGGAAACCTGGAGAACCTCAGTCTGGCCTTCACCAACGTGACCAGCGCCTGCGCTGAGCACCTCATCAAACTGCCTTCTCTCAAGCAGCTGAACCTGTGGTCCACTCAGGTGCAACACTGTCTGCCTGCACCCTGCTCTGCCCCCGCCCGCCCCCGCATCCTGCCCCCTCCTCCGTGCCCCTGTGCGCCCCTGCTCTGCGCCCTCCTCTGGGACTGGCCTTCCTGCCTGGAGCCCGGGGCCCAGTCTCCTGATTACCACGCCCCTCCCCAGCTCAGCACCCCCTCCATAGGCCAGAGGACACTTAGGACCTCGTGAAGGCCAGTGGCCGTTTCACAGTTGGAGCTGCTGAGGCCCAGGGCAGGGGCATGCCCAGCAAAGCCTTAGAAGCCCTGAGAGGCGGGGCTGAGACGTGACGCTGGTCTCCCGCACCCTCCTGGGTAGCACACGGGCAGCTCGGGAGTCTTCCTGTTGTGGTAACAACCACAGCACACCGATGCTTGCCACCCACGCTCGGTGTTGTTTGCACTTCGAAGCGCCTTGCGTGGATCAGCACACGTGGTCTCCACTCCCCTCCTGTGACGTGGAGGCCCCGCCAGAGCCCTCCTTTTATAGAAGAGGAACCAGGTGTTCCCGGCAGTCTGCCTTCCAAGGCCCATCCTGCCCCATCCTACTGTCCTGCCCAGGGAAAGGCGGCCTTGGCCCTCACTGGTAGCCGGAGCCCCTGAGTTCAGAGCCCTCCTTGACAGACAGCAAGACCGACTCCTGGGAAGGGCCCTTGGCTGGCCCGCATCCCACCAGCAGAAGCTGGACTCGAACCCCGGTCCGGGGAAGCATTTGAGTCTTTGGAGAGAAGCGAAGGCAGCCCAGATCCCCCGGCTTGAAAGGCGGTGGCTCTGTCCCCGTCACCTTCCTCCACCGCTGCCTCCAGCCTCGGAGTCATTTCCCTGAGTGCCGTGGGGACGTGGGTCGATCCCCAGGGCTGAGAGGTTCTGTGCTCCACAGTTTGGAGACGCCGGCCTGCGGCTCCTGTCGGAACACCTCACCATGCTCCAGGTGCTGAACCTGTGTGAGACGCCTGTGACCGACGCGGGCCTGCTGGCCCTCAGCTGTGAGTCCTGCGGGGGTGGCCAGGGTGGGCAGGGCCTGCTTCGTGCATGCGTGCACACGTGCATCCATTCATCCACTCACCCATCCACCCATTCACGCGTGCGTGCATCCATTCATTCAACAAGTGCTCATGAGCACCTACTGTGTGCCAGGCACCATTTTAGGTGCTGGGAACACAATAGGGGACATATCCCTGCCCTCATGGAACTTATATTCTAGAAGAAAACGAAACAATGAGTGCCCTTATCCTCCAGATACTTGTCTGAGGGATCAAGTTTGGGAAAAGTGCCCTAGGACAGGCTTGCCCTGCTCTCCTGCCCAGTAGCAGCCATCAGCCGGGGTTGGATGTGCAGATTCTCAGGTCCTGCCCCAGACCTGCTAACTCAGAAACTGCAGTTTAACAAAATGCCCCGGTGATTCCCACGTGTGATTGAAGTTTGAGAAGCATTGCTCTAATAGAAGGAGCCACAAAACACCCAAGGAACCCAGAAGTGCCGATTCCTGCACCCCAACCCTAATCTACCAGAGCAAAGTCTTGGGTGCTGAGCCTGGGAAGCTGCACTGCCCATGTCCCACCCACTGGTTTAGATGACAGGCCCCATGCCTCAGCTGGGAGGAATCATGGAGGGCTTCCCCGGGGAAGTGACCAGATCTGGGTGTACAGGACATACGTAGGAATTGGCTGAGGGGGTTGATACGCTGGGCAGGGGCCATGGCTCCTACAAGGTTGCTGGCAAATTCCAGATGGCTTGGGAGGGGTGGGGACAGGAGACAGGGGTGATGGAGGCCAGAGAGGATGAGGTTTGGGGACACTTTTCTGCAAATGTGCTCTTTGGACACTGTCATTGGAGTCACACAGCCCCTGGCTCGGTGCACCCAGGAACGGGATGGAACACCGCACCTCTGATGGGTGGCTCCTGACCAAACCAAAGTTCGAGGCGTGCTTTCAAGAAGGGGGGTCCTGGGTCAGCCCTACTGGGAGAGCTCCCAGAGCTCCCCTCGGGGAAGGGCCCAGCCTGGCCCACTGGGGCTGACCTGGGATGTGGCAGGCACACTCTGGGGAACTTCAGGGTACAGCAGTGCAGGGACCTGACAGATAGACCAGAAGGAAGGGAGGCTCAGAGAGCAGGGAGAGAACGTGAGCCCAATTCAGACCAGCTCCTGCCTGAAACGGACTTTCTGTCCTGGTGGTGCCCTAGCAGTGCCCCTGAAACCCTCCCGCCCCATCTCCTAGACAGGGGCCTTGGCTACAGTAGTCAGCCCCCCAGCTTGACTGTCCCATACCTGCAGCTGCCTTTGTGGGGTTCTCACTGACCTAATGCCTGTGTCTGTCTGTCCTTGCACAGCCATGAAGAGTCTTTGCAGCTTAAACATGAACAGCACCAAGCTCTCGGCTGACACCTATGAAGATCTGAAGGTAATTCTTCCCTTCCTCCCTTTCTCCCTCCCTTCCCCCCTTCCCTCCTTCTTTCCTAGACACCAGTGCTTTGCCCTCGTGGAGCTTATTCTCTAGCAAGAAAGGCTATTACACCGGCAGATAAGTCAGTAAATAAAATAATGGCAGGTGGAAAGGAGTGGTAGGGAGGAAGCCAGCAGGGAATTGGTAGCTTAGAAATAGGGAGGGCCTGTTTGGCATGTGATCATCAGGGATGGTCCCTTTGAAGTCACATAAGCCGAGACCTATAAGATAAGAAGCCGTGGATGCAAAGGATGACCGGAAAAGCAAGGGCAAAGGTCCTGAGGCAGAAAGGGTTGGTATGAACTGACTTTGTAGCAAATGCGACTAGAAAGTAAGAGAGAACAGACTTGGGCCAGACTGAATAAGCCCTCATAGGTCACAGAAGGGTTCTGGATTCCATCCAAGTTCAGTAGAAAGCTTTCAGAGACTCTAAGCAATGTTGTGAGTTATGCTTGTAAAGGCTTGTTGTGGCTGTTACCAGGAAAACTGATTTTTTTTTGCTAGAGCCGGGGGTGGTCCAAGCAAGAGTAGAAACAGGGAGAACATCAACAGGGCTGATGCAGTCATGGGTTAAGCTCCTGGTCCTGTAGCCTGGGCTAGATTGGCAGTATTTAAAGTTGGGGCAAGAAAGAGGATCTGAGTAGGGAGAGGTGGGCACGTTTCCTGGGGGACTGGTGGAGCTTGACCTTCAGAAATCTGCTGCCCCCATCACTCTGGGTCCAGTACCAACTGCCCCGGAAGGAGTGAGTGGGGCTGCAGATAAGCCAGCGCTGAGGACGGAAGGGCTGGGCCAGGCAGCCAGACCCACCATGAGACGCCAGCACCTTCACACGCTGGAAGCCACTTGGAAGGAATTCCCACAAGCAGGGACCACCCCTTCCCCGCCCCACCCTCAGCCCTCCGGCTCAGCCAGACCTGCGGCCAGCTTTAGAGCACCTACTATGTGCCAAGCCCAGGCTGGGGACAGGGACAGGACCAAGGTGCATCTGGTTCACCACTGCCCGGGAGGAAGCTCCGTCCTGGCAGACAGATACATGCAGTAACCGGGCCAGGACAGGGCTCAGGGACCAGCAGGGAGGGGACAGGGGACAGCCAGCCCTGCTCACTAGGGCAGAAGAGCCTTCACAAAAGGTCTTGAGAAGGGAATCTGCCGAGCAGGCCAGGAGAGCCGTCGGAGGGTGCCGAGGAGCATGTGAAGCGGGGCAGGGGTGCGGCCGGCGCAGAACCAGCCTGAGTGCACCCTCCAGGGCCTCCGCGACCTGCCGGGCCCAAGTGGGCGTTTCTGCACCGTTGAGGATTACTGTGCCCCCTGAAGGCGAAGGAGCACAGATCCGGGTGCCCTAGCCAAGCAGCAAAGGGGTGTGGTCAGCCCCTTGTGGAGAAAAGCCGCTTTCACGCATCCGAGAGACCCCATGGTGCCAACTTGGGCATACTGGCCAGTGACGCCCAACCTCTGTGCTGCGGGCATCGGACGGCCCGGAGGCTGTCTGCCTGCCTGGGGGCAGGCGGCCTGCACTCCACATCGGGCAGGCAGGGCCCTCCAGCTCACGGCCCCGTCTCTCAGGAGAACCTGGAAACCTCCGTGCCAGTTTGCCATCTCCTGATCGGAGAGGTTGGCTTAAAGAAGGTTTTACAGTGCTGCACAGGGGAAGGCAGCCCCCAGTCTGTAGCCTCTGCCTGGGCAGCGGGGCTGGGGGCCCACGAGCCAGAGCACAGGGGAGAAGCGCGGAGGAGCCTTGCGCACGCACGGTAGAAGGTGACACTGGCCGGTGCCCCCACGGAGAGTCTGGAAGAGGGAGCAAAGGGAGGAGAGCCATTAGCCCTGTCGGTGCAGTGAAGGCTTGTGGAGGGAAGGCCAGCTGTTTATAAAAGAAGGAAGAGAGGCGATGTGTCTGGGTGGCAGGGATGGAGAGCGGGAAGCAGGTGTGAACAACAGCAGGTGGAAGCTTGCAGTCTAGACGGTTCCGACGCGGGGGCGTCCTGCAGGGGAAGACTCGCTGCCCCCCAGGTGCCTGCATTTATGGCGATCCCACCGCATTCCCCTGCCCGATTTCCCGTAACGATGGCCTGTAGGCGGCGGTGACGGTGCGGGTGGTTCCCGCCTGTAGGGCACACGGCCTTGTGTTGTTCAGGGCGAGCTGTGCGTCAGGAGGTTCCACCCTTAGCACCGTCCTGTGAGCCGTGGCCCGATCACGCTGGCTCCACAGAGGAGGAGGCCGGGGGCTCTGCCCCCGGGGTCGTGCAGCCGGCAAGTGACAGAGCTTGGGCTCCCACCAGGGCTTTCTGCCTTCAGAGCCAGGCATCCACGGCCTCGCAGAGGCAGGGGACACAGAATCCCCTGCAGCTGTCCGCCCACCTGCGACCTCCGATCCCGGGGCTGCTGCCCTGTCTGTGCTCCCCGAGGTTACCCAGCTCTGAGCCCCAGGGAGCCCCGACGGCAAGGTGGGGAGGGCACAGTGGGAACCCCGGCCGTGGCTGCGGGAGAGCCAGGCACCGCCGGGCCAGGTTCGGGAAAGGACTGTTCCCCTTGCTGCCCCGCAGGCCAAGCTTCCCAACTTGAAGGAAGTGGACGTCCGCTACACAGAAGCCTGGTGAAGCTCCCGGCTCGGCAGGAAGGAGTTTGCAGCTGCAACACACGACTTTTGACTAATAGCCGTAGAGCGCCGGTCCTGGGGTCCCGCCCCCAGCGTCCCGGCTGTGAGATAGATGGGGGAGTCTTTCTGGGGGCAGAGGGCGGAGGGGGGAGGGGGTGGGGAGGGGGGCCGTAAGCACGCCCAGCCCCGCCTAATTCTTTTAGCTTCATAATTGGAAACCTTGACCTGACCCAAAAAGGACTTTGTAGCAACCAGAGGAGCATCAGCGGGTCGGGGGAGAGGGTGGGGGAGGGGTGGGGGCCTTGGGGAGGGGGGACCCTTTGTGGATTTTCTTTGCCTTTGTGTTCAATGCCGTGTGGGAAAAGTCAACCCCGATGCCACCATCACACGACCCTGATGGGCCTCGAGGGCCGAGGAAGGGTGCTTTCTTCCTCACAGGCTCCACCGAGAACTCGCCCCCGCCCCCCACCATTGGGACAAGAAAACCCAGACATGTCATTGCACCGTCCTGTGTCCTCGCCATTGCTATGCAAAGTGATTCTTGTTGTACATAAGATTTAAATAATGCGCCTATTTAAGAAATGTTGACAAATTGCGGGTCTGGGACCTGCCTCTTATTTATGAAGTCTTTGACCCTCCCTCCCTCCCTCCTGCCCTCCCGTCCCGCCCTCCCCTGGCCCGTAGTACTGTATAAACCAGTCAGCTGTTGGGGTAGTGGTAGTATTATTGTTATTTTTTTAAAGGAAACAGACAAAAAAAAAAAAAACCTCCTTGGAAAATTAATTGCTTTTTCGTAATGGATTCTGTATGCTAATGCTCGGCCGTCTGTCCGCCCGCCCGCCCCCACTGTGCGTTTCCAATTCCCAGATGTCTCCAACTTGCCCCCGGGTGAGGGTCAGGCTGGGGGGCAGAAGTGGGGTCCCCACGTTGTAGTCCTGTTCCTGCCAGGCCCCGGCTTTCTCTCAGCCCCCTCTTACGCCATTTTGGGGGGTGCTAACCTGTCCTCCCTGGTCCATCCCCTGGAAGAGCTGCCCCCGCCCCGGCCCCCGGAGAGCTCCCATCTCCGGTGGCCTCTGCCATCCCTGTCCCCACTGAGACTGCGGCCTGTGGCCTCCCCGCCACCCTGTGCTTCACGTGGTCTCCTCACGCATGCCTGCTTCTCTGCATGGTCTCTTGGGAGAAGAGAGAGACGTCGCCTCCACCAGCCTGACTGCCCACCCCACCCCTATGAATGTGACCGCTACAGCACAGACACCCTTTCTGTCCCCACACCTGCCCCGAAGACAAACCAACCTCCGTTTCTTTTGTAAACAGTCGGCTTTTTCTTAACAAGCCCTCCCTGTACAGAACAGCCCTTTTATGGTTTACTTGGGGTCCCCTCTCCCCCCAAGCCCAAGCCCCCTCTTCTGTTGGTTTAGCACAAATACCGTCCCCCTCCGGCACCTCCAGCCCTGACCCCTCAGTCAATGTAATTGTTTTATATATATTTAATCTTATTCAATGGAAACCATGCTTTTGTCGTTTTATACTTTGCTAGGTAGACTTTATTACCCCCCCCCCCCCCGAGGGCGCCCTTGTTTTTTTAAAAAGGGAAAAAAAAAAAGAAATTGGGTTTCAGTCTTAATTCATTTTACGTGCCAGGTTTTATTTTGTGTGTGCGTGTGAGTGTGTTCTGTTTCGTGTTTTGTTTTCTTCTGTTGTTGTTGTTGTTTTCTGTTGTTTGGTTTTATTCTCTCCCCTCCGGTCCCAAACTTTATAGCACTCTGGTGCAGGAAGAAGCAGAAGCAAAAACAAAAAAACAAAAAAACAAAAAAAAACAAAAAACAAAAAAACAACAACAAAAAAAACTCTAAAAAAGAAAAAAAAAGAGCCGAGACATGCCATCTTTTCCCTTCGCACTGTTGCTTTTCCTGATGGTTAATACTACTGTCACGTTAGCTGTGTTCAGAGATGTGAAATACTTTCAGGCAAAAATAAACTGTAAGTGACTCATTGACATCTGGCCTTTCTGTGTGGCTTCGAGGGAGCCTTTCGGCGGGGACGGGAAGGGGACAAGACCTGGGCCGAGGTCAGGACTCCTCTGAACGTCCCGAGCTGCTCACCCTCGGCACCGTTGACATTGGGGGCCAGACCCTCCTTTGTCACGAGGCCGTTCTGTGCATCCGAGAATGTCCTGCGTTGTCCCTGGCCTCGGCCTGCTAGATGCCAATAGTACCCAGTCCCCCCGCCCCCAGACTAACAACCAAAAATGTCCACCAGGGACAAAATCACTCCCTGGGGGAAACCCAGGCTGCCAGTCTCTGCATCAGGGCCCTTACGGCAGCTCTCGTCCAGAACTTCTAGGACCGATGGGCCTGTTCGTCACCTGGGGGTCTTGGGAAAATGCGAGTTACGATTTCCAAGGTCTGGGTGGGGCCCGAGACTCTGCTTTCCAGGACCTCTGGGAAACCCAGATGCTGCTGGTTTTTGGAAGCCTCTCTGAGTTCAGCAGCCTAGAACCATACATCCGGCCGCCCGCTCACCCACATGTCCCCAGGAGGCAGTTGGAGGAGTCCAAGGAGAGACTTTGTTTCCACCCCTCTCCTAAGTCATTCGCTTTGCAGGGTTTCTTTGCCCAGTGTTACCCCAGCCCAGTGGCCCGTCGCTCACGCCCCACATCCAGCACGTTGCCTGCCTTCAGAAGCCGCTGGAGAATGTTCCTGAGTCTCCTCCTCCTCCATCAGTATCTCCACCTCCCTCACCCTGGGCCAGGCCCCTCATCCCTGTCCAGGGGACCGAGCAGCCGCCTCGCTGCCTCCCCGGTCCATCCTACACCACCTTCCTACCCTCGCTACCTGCCCTGCCTCTCCACATCCCTGCTGCCCGCTCCTGGCCCTCCTCACTTCCAGAGGCCTCTGGCCACACAGGGAAAGCAGGAGCCGTGGGCGAGGATCAGGAGGGCCCCAGACTTCAGGCGTGGCGGGTGGGCCAGCTACAGGAGGAGACGTGCGCGTACGAGGCGCGAACGCCTGCTCCATCCCCCATCCTTCGCACCCGGGAGAGGGGGGCGGCTCACAGCAGGTGCGCCCGTGGAAGGGGGGTCCCTGCCAGCCGTCCCGTCCTCGGTCCTCCTCCTCGCTCTGTCCTGCGTCACCTGGGGCTCCTCCGCCCACTGGCTTCTGGGGGAGCCTGGAGAGTGAGGCTGCCCGGCCAGGGGTTCCCCTGGGCGTCCCAGCTTCACAGTAGTTCCCTCCACAACTCTGGGTCTCGGAGGAACACCTCTCCCCTCCCCGGGTCTTAGTCCGGCTGGACCTGCCCGCTCCCGCTGGGGAACCTCACATCCTTTGCCCCCGCCTGCCCCCCAGAATGCCCAGAGTCCAGCCAGTGCCCTCCCCCGGCACAGCCGAGCCACCATGTGTCTTTGCTTTTAACCCAGTGGCTTGAAAGAACAGAAACTTACTCTCTCGAGGTTCTAAAGACCAGGACGTCAGCAGGGCCCCGCATTGTCTGAAAACTCTAGAGGAGAAAACTTTCCCTCTCTCTTCCAGCTCCCGGGGGGGTCCTGGTGTTCCCGGTTGTGGCTTTGCCCCTCCAGCCTCTGCTGTGTCCCACACGCCAACCCCCCACCCCTTCTTCAGCGAATCTCCCTCTGCTTTCTCTTATCAGGACATCTGCCATTGGATTTAGGACCCACCTGGATGACCCAGGATGACCCGTGGACAGATCCTTAACATGATCACATCTGCAAAGACTCTTTTTCCAAATAAGGTCATAGTCACCCGTTCCAGGTGAATGTATCTTCTGGATTTGACGTTTCATTAATCCTCCTTTGATGACTGGGGTTCATCTTGAAGGCTATGAATGATAGGGAGGTTGCAATGATCGGGCTCATTTTCTAACGAAATGCTTACACCGCCCCTCCTGTGTGCCAGGCACAGTAGCAAGGGTAAGGCTTGTAGGTCTGAACTCATTTACGCCTGATACGCCTAAGGGGTGGGTGCAGATATGATCCCTCTTGACCGATGGGGAAGTGGAGGCCAGGAGAGGGTGGGTCTCTTGGTCAAGGCCACACGGGGAGCGGGGGACGCAGCCCACCTTAGAACCCAGGCATTTTGGGAAGATCTCTCCACTGCTGGCTGGTGAATGGATGGGGCTGGGACCAGGGCAGGGACCTTGGAAAGAAAGATTCAAGAGGAGCTTGGGAGTGAAAGTGCGGAACACGGTGCCTGGTATGGAGGGAAGGCCAGCAAGGAGTCAAGGGTAATGTTCACGTTCCTTGGCTTCTTCTCACTGGGGGCTTCGAGGGTCTAGAATTAGCACCTCTGCCTGGCAGCAGCTTTCTCAGTGGCCTGCAGGGCTGGTGTGTCAGTGCCCCTGCGTTCTCCCTCCTCGTGGAGGTAGAGACTCCCATCTGCTTCCCCTGGGGACAGTCTGCTGTCCCCAGGGCTCACCAGCCTGTTAGCACTTACTTCTGCTCTCACCCTCACTTTCCCTCATCCCATCCTGGGACCACTTCCCAAATAAGCCACCTATGCTGGAATCTTCATCCCAGAGCTTGCTTCTGGGGAAGCCCAAACAAAGACGGTGGCTAACCATGCTAGGCGACAGAGGGGCAGGTTACAGGGGGAGCCCCCTCCCCCACAGGCTGAGAAAGCCCTCCTAAGGAGACTGCACGGTTGCCGGGCACATCTGCCTCAGCCGCAGCCAAGCCACAAGGACCGTGCAACTGGGGACCCAAGAATCAGCTTGCACCTGTTTTCAGAGGTGGAGGTGGAAGCTGCCAGATGCTCTCACACATTGCTGGCAGGCATAGAAATTGGTTCGGCGGGTTTGGAAAGCGTATCGACTAAAAGCTAACCATCCAGCCCACCCTGTGACCCCACAACCCCACTCCTGGGTATATAGACCCGGGAGAACCGAGCGCACATGTCCACCAGAAGACACAGACAAGGGTGTTTATAGCAGCATTATTCGTAAGAGCCAAAAAGCGGAAGCAACCCAAATGTCCACTAAGAGGAGAATAAACAAACCAGGGTGGTTTCGCAGTGGAAGAGCTTGAGCGCCCCCCCTCCCCCTTCAACAGGAGAATCAATCAAACGCACAGCGACTTAGTCGTGTGATGAAATTCTGCAGAAAAAGGCCAAAAGAGCCAACTTCTGATACCCACAGTGGCGTGAATTAATTGGACACATGTTACGTGTGTGGAAGGAGCCAGGAGGGCTTGCCGGAGGATTCCATTTATGTGAAGTGCATGGACGGGCACGAGGCATCTATGACTACAGAGGTGATAACCGTGGTTACTGATAGTGCAGGGGGCGGGAGGTGTCATCGACTGGGAATGTTAAGAGGGAAGCTTCTGGGGTGATGAAGATGCTCTACAGCTCAGTCTGCGGCCACACGGGTGTTTAAACACCCCTGGAGCTCCACATTTTTAAGATTTGTGTCGTTTATTTTCTGTGTTACACACCCCCTTTTTAAAAGTGGCATCAGGTCGACACACCCCAAACATCCACCAACAGGTAATAGATGTGTATTTACAGACGATGGACTATTATCCGTCCGTAAGAAAGGATGAAGCATGGACACACGGTCCCTCGTGGATGAACCTCGAAGACATCATGCTGAGTCACCTAAGCCAGACACAACAGACCACATATTGGTGGATTCCACTTATAGGCAATAATCTAAAATAGGCAAATCTGCACAGAAAGAAAGCAGACTGGTGTTTACGAGGGGCTGGGGAGTGACTGCCTCATGGATATGGGGTTTTATTTGGGGCTGAGGAAAATGCTTGGGAACTAGACAGAGGTACTGATTACACCATACTGTAAACGCTCTAAATGCCTCTTTAAAATGGTTTCTTTTATGTTACGCGAATGTCACCTCAATTTGTTAAAACGGCATCAAAAAAGAATTTTCTTAACGAAGAGATGGCCGCTGCTCCTCTCTGCTGTGTCTGGGTCTGGGAGGGTGAGTGGTGCCCTGGCCACCGTGACTTCTCTCAGCGCAGTGCTGGCCCGTCCTTGTGAACGTTTGTCCCCGCCTCAAAAACGCTCTACTGCCATCTGCTGGACAGTTGTCATTATACCAGTTTGCATAGTAAATCCACACACTCCCTTAAATGTGGCATCCTGGTACAGTGCACAACGTGCACAGCTGTATGTGGTGGGATATCTGACTTTGCTTTATTTTTCAGTGTCCTCTATTCAGGTTGGGGTGGGGCCTTGAAAACCTCAGTGCTGGCCTTCCCTCCCATGCCCTCTCTAATGCTGGCTAAGGCTAGCCTGAGCTAGCCTCTCTCAGATTCGGCGGGGAGATGAAGTCCTTGTGGTTCCTGATCCACGCATCAGTGCATGGAGACCTGCCCTCTGGACATACCTCCAGAAAAGAAACCTTGCCCGGAGCACATTTGGTCATCCCCACGGCAGGAGAAGGCTGACCACTGGCTAGAAGGTCTCCACCAAAGTCCTGGCAACAGACCTCTTGGCTGTTTGTGTTTCCTCTCAATGTAATGGTAGGAACGACAAGCTGTTCCTCGAAAACACCAGGCTTTGTCTCCTCTCGGATTTGCCAGGTAGGAGAAGAGGCTGTTGCATCCAGTGGGAAGGAGGCTCAGGGAACGGGGCGCTGGATACACCCACTATGTCAGCTCCTCTTTGGGGCTCCCCCCAGCAGTGGCCACAGGGGTTTGCTGAAGTGGAGGTGGGTCAGTGATTCCCTCCTGGGGGGTTTAATGGAGAGCAGTAATGCATCATAAGCCCCTCCCGGCCCTGGAGTTACAGAGGCATCCGTTATGCGCATGGGGTTGGGGGTTCTTTCCCCTGATGGTGGCTGTTCAGGATAAGTCCTGCCTTATAGAAATAGGATGCAAGTCATTTATATAATGTAAATTGTTCTAGTATCCACATTTTTTAGAGAAAAAGGCAAACTTAGGGGCGCCTGGGCGACTCAGTCGGTTAAGCATCCAACTTCGGCTCAGGTCGTGATCTCATGATTCATGGGTTTGGGCCCCACATGGGGCTCTGTGCTGACAGTGCAGAGCCTGCTTGGGATTCTCTCTCTCTCCTCTCTCTCTCTCTCTCTCTCTCTCTCTCTCTCTCTCTCAGAATGAATGAATTTAAAAAGAATTTTTTTTAAAAAGGAAGGGTAGTATATCATTTACAAGAGAAAGCTTGGGAGATCATAACCATGCATTTTGGGAGGATGGATGGATGGAAGGAAGTAAACCCAAAGGAAAGAAAGCAAAGTGGCTCCTGATGAAATGAGACATCTGACATCTGACCTATGTCGACACCAGGGTTTGGGCAAGCAGAGTCGGTGTTGGCCTTGAGCTGAAGACAGTCAAGGGTGTACCCAGGCAGCCAGGCCACGCGCAGTCTCTGTCAGAGCTCTGCCCCTCATGTTGAGGCAGGTCCCACAAGGGATCCAGTGTCCTTCCTCCCGCTGGCTGTCAGCTGGCCAGGAGAGGGAGTTGGTTCTGTAGCCTTTTGTCCACTTACTGAGCAAAAGCGTATTGCTCTGAACCTTGAAAACACTGTGCCAAGTGGAAGAAGCCAGTCACAAAAGTGGGATCCTATGCCATGATCATAGGAAAGCCCAGAATAGGGAAATCTATGGAGAAAGTTCATTACCAGTTGCTTAGGGCTGAGGGGATGGGGGACAGGCATGGGCAGGGGTTCATTTTGGAGGTGATGACAATGTTCTAAATTGACCGCACAACTCTATGCTAAAAACCGTGGAACTGTGCACTTGGGTGGATTGTGGGGCTGGCGAATTGTATCTCAACAAGGCTTTTTTTTTTTCTTCTTCTTCTTCTTCTTCTTCTTCTTCTTCTTCTTTTTTTTTTTTTTTTTTTTTTTTAATGTACTGAGCACCAACTGTGCGCCAGGCACGCTGGCGACTCAGGAGTAAATAAAGCAAACGCCATCCTCCACCACATTCAGTCTGAGGGAGGAGGCAGCCATTAGCCAGATAACCCCACAAACCATTTTGCATCGCGGCGGCAGAGAGAGCTACAAGGAGGTGCAGGCGGCTGGAATGAGCGCCTCCGAGAGGGGGCGGCACCGAGCTCACGTGTCTCCACCTGCAAGAGCCGGAAATGACCAACTCCTGGGGCAGGTGGAGCAGGGAAGCGCCTTCCAAGCGGTGGGAAGAGCCGGTGCGGAGGCCCTGAGGCAGAGGCTGGCACCGGGGAGGAACGGACCAGCAGAAGGGAGGAAGACGAAGGGGGGGGGGGGGGGCAGGAGCAGCGGGAGAGAGAGGCAAGGGGCGGAGGCAGAGTGGTGGGGGAGGGATATATGATGGTTTGGGAGTTGTTCAACTACAAACCGCCCCCCTCTGTTGTGGAGCGGAGCGGAGGGAGGCAGACGGAAGTCTGGGAGGGTGGAGGAGGGGGTCGGGGCTCATCACCTCCCGCATCGGATTCACATGCCATTCTCCCTAGGAAGGGGCTGCCTGTTGACGAAGCAGGAAGGTCGGTTTGGCCGGCAGAGGGCCATGGGAGGACAAAGGGTCACGGGGAAGCTGGCAGGCAGGTGAGACCTGGCGGGCCTGGCTCACACCTGTCCGTCTCCGGTGGCCAGGACGGGACAGGTCTGGAGGCAGGGGGGCGGCTCCAACGCCTCTGGCGTCCCAGCTGCCGCAGATCGGGGCTGGGGCTGCGCCAGGCCGGCGGGCGGGGGCGGGAGGCGGCGTGCCGGGCCCCGGGTCCCTGACGTCAACGTTGCCATGGAGACCCCCCCGCTTCCCTCGGCGCGCGTCGCAGCTGCCGCAGACCCCGGGGCTGGGAAGGCTCTGCAGGGTTGAGGGGAGCAGAAAGTGCGGGCCTGGGTCCCGCCGCTGCGCCCCAGAGCGCCGCCCAGCGAGAGGGCGGGGTACCGAGACACCCCCCCGAGGGGCTCCCCGCTGCCCTCCAGCCTGCCCCCACCCCCGTCGCCCGGACTGGGAGCGACAGTCCGGGAGTGCCTCGGCCAGAAATCAGCCCAGGGTCCTGCATGGCCCTCCCCACGGTAACACACCCAAGGGGGCACGTCCCTCCGCCCTCGCCTCCCACTCCCAGCCCCACTGTGTTGGGCGCCCTGCCCCTTCCTTCCTTCGAGGAGCATGTAGGGCGCCCCCCCTCGGTCCCCAGCGCTTGCCGTCCTCGGCGGGGACCCAGCGAGGGAGTAGGGGCGTCCCAACACCGCCGCCCGCCTGCTGGCGCCGCCCTCCCTGGAGCTCACGTAGGAAACGGTGTTTTCTTTGTCTCTAGACCTCGTTCGGTCGAATCTCTCCAGGTTCTTAAAGACGCCTTCAGGAACAGACTGGCCAGGCTGGCTGACTTCAGCCTCGCCTCCACCTGCTCTTCGTGCCTCTTCTCTTTCCCGAGCTCCTTCCTCCTCCGCGGGAGTGAAAGAAAGGGACGCCCGTCCTGCGCTTCCCGGGTCTTGCCCTTGTCCTTGTTTGCCCGCTGCTGCTTCCCTGTTGTGGCCCAGGTGTGTGCACTTGGGAGGACTGTGTGGAGTGGGGTGAGGGTCCCCAGGACGGGTTCCCCCCCCCCCCCCCCAGCTCCCTCTCCCAGCTGCTGGTCACACACACACACACACACACACACACACACACACACCCCGCCCCCCAGCTGCTTCCTGCTGGGGGCTCCTCACCCCGGAGCCAACCTTTTTGGTTGGGATGCTGGAAATCGCTCTTGGTGTTCCTTCCTCCCTGGTGTCCATGTGACTTCCAGAACCTCACACCTTCCTGACACGCCCTGGTCACCTCTCCCCACCCTGGCCCCTCTTACCACTTCTCTTTTCCCTGACTCCGTGGGTGAACTTGAGACCCGGGGAGGGGAGCGTCTATCTTCTTTTCTTCCCACCCCAGTCTTCTGTTAGTGCTGGGATGATATAAGGCAAAGCAGGACCTTCGCAGCCACTTGGTAAATAAGCCCTGAGGTCTGGTCTCCAGTTTTCTGACTTTCTCTAGAATCTGGGGGACTTAGACCTGGAGGATGATGTCAAGGCTGCTGGAGAAGTCCCACTTAATACCCTCTTAATCATTCATCCATCCACCTTAAAGACCTACTGCATGCTGGTCACTCAGCTAAGTGTGGGGATCTAGCAGTGAATAAAGACCAAAGCCTCTTTTGTGGAGCCTATGTCTGAGAGGAGTCAAGCAACAAAGTAAGAAAAAGATGTAGAGTCTTTTTTTTTTTTTTAATGTTTTTATTTATTTTTGAGACAGAGAGACACAGATCATGAGCAGGGGAGGGGCAGAGAGAGAGGGCGACACAGAATCTGCGGCAGGCTCCAGGCTCTGAGCTGTCAGCACCAGAGCCCGACGCGGGGCTCAAACTCATGGAGTGTTCTCAAGATCATGACCTGAGCTGAAGTCAGGCGCTCAACCGACTGAGCCACCCAGGCGCCCCAAGATGTAGTGTCTTAAAAGGAGAGATGTGGGGGCGCCTGGGTGGCGCAGTCGGTTAAGCGTCCGACTTCAGCCAGGTCACGATCTCGCAGTCCAGGAGTTCGAGCCCCGTGTCAGGCTCTGGGCTGATGGCTCAGAGCCTGGAGCCTGTTTCCGATTCTGTGTCTCCCTCTCTCTCTGCCCCTCCCCTGTTCATGCTCTCTCTCTGTCCCAAAAATAAATAAGCATTGAAAAAAAAATTAAAAAGAAAAAAAAGGAGAGATGTGATGGGGAAAAAGTTGAATCCAAAAAGGAGGATGGAGAGGGTGGAGGGAAGGTGGCTAGGGAAGGCCTCACTGAGAAGGAAGGGGACATCTGGGCACAGCCCTGAAGGAGGGGAGGGAGGAGCCAAGGGATATTTGGGGGTAAGAGCATTCCAGGCAGCAAGAAAAGCCAGTGCAAAGGCCCTGAGGTGGGAGCAGGCATGGAGTGTGAGAGGAACGGGGAACGATGGTGCAGCCAGAGCAGAGTGAGCAAAGCAGGGAGGAGTGGAGAGGGCTGAGAGTCACCTGCGGGCCCTGCCAGCTGCTTGGAGGACGTGGGTTTTCCTGGCACTCTTCCCTCTTGTCATGACAGCTCAGCAGACATGCATCAGTACCTGCTGCCCCTGGCCCTTTGCTGAGGGTCCTCCTGTGCACCATGACATCCAGTCTCAAAATACCCTCATTATCCCATTTTGTAGATGAGAAAACAGGGGCGCTAGCATGTCAGGTAAACCCTGAGGGATAAGAAGAGATTCATCTGGAAAAAGGTATGTGTGGGGTGGGGAGGGCCCAAGGCTGTCTGATGATGGTCTCAGGGAGGAGACAGTGAGGCCTCTGCCACACAGAAGGAAAGCGGCCTTTCTGTGGCTGCCCCACTTGGCCTCCAGAAAAGCCCAAATCTTCCTGTCACAACCAGCCCCAGGGGCAGGAGGCGCTGCTGTCCCCAGACTTCCGTGCCCCAAGCTGATGGCCCTCTGAGTCACAGCCAGCAGCTTTAGCATTTGCCCTCGGGGGTGGGGGATGGGGGGGGGGGGGGGGCGGTGGAGCTGGAGAGACCTGGAGAGACGAACCAGGTTTTTCTATCAGGCAGGCCTGAAGGGTTTGTGGGAGGAAATGAGGAGGAAAAAAATGAGGCCGGATGGACTCGGCTGGGGAAGCTACTTCGAGGGAGGTGGCCACCCTCCTGGCCAACTCGCCAAGTCCCCTGGCCTGTCTCAGCAAGTGCCATGGGCTTGATGCTGAGAAAATGTTTGATCATTCATCTGACAGGGGTCTCCTTTGTGCTGGGCCCTGTGTCCTGTGACGGGTGGGTGGGGAGGTGGCTGTGGAAAGGGCTGAGCGGATGATTCTGTGACTCCTGAATGGATGCATTAATTACCTACCGCTGCGTAACAAATCACCCCAAATGCAGCGACTGGAAACAAGCGTGTTTGTTTCTGCGGCTCAGGAACTCCGGAGTGACTCAGCTGGGTCGTTCCGGCTCACGGCTCGGTCCCGTATGGCGGCCATCGAGATGTCAGCCGAGGCCGTGGCCTTGTTTGAAAGCTCTGCTGGGCTGGAGGACCCCCTTGTGTGACAGTGCCCCACACCACTTCTGGTGGGAGGCCTCAGTTTCTCCTCAGACGGTTGTCCAGAAGGCTCCTTGAGTGTTGTTTTATGCAACTCCCCCTAGGGTGAGTCATCGGAGAGAAAGACCAAAGTAGAAACTAGGGTGACTGTGACCACCGGGTCTCTGATATCCCCCACCGTCACTTCTGCTTTGGGCTCGTTTGTTAGCAGCAAGGCACTAAGACCAGCCCACGCTCAGGGGAGGGAGATTAGGGTCCACGTCTTGAAGGAAGAGCATCAAAGAATTTGTGGGCGGAGTTTAAAACCATGACAACAGGAAAATGGATGGTGCACCCGCTCTTCTTCCCTGATGCTGGAATCTTAGAATAATCTCCGACCACGGCTGTTGGTGAAATCCCCCGGGACACTTGTAGCAGTCCAAACCCCGGCCCCTCTTACTGAGCTGGTCTGAGCCAGGACTTGGACATGTGTGGTTTTGTTGTGTGGAATAATTTTTATTTAAATGTTTGTTTATTTCAGAGAGAGAATGTGCAAGCAGGGAAGGGGCAGGGAGAGAAGGGGACAGAGGATCTGTGCTGCCAGCACAGAGCCCGATGCGGGATTCAAACTCATGAGCCGCGAGATCGTGACCCGAGCGGAAGTTGGATGCTTAACTGGCTGAACCGCCCAGGCGCCCCTGTTGTGTGGAATGCTTTTAAACTTTAAGCGTGACGTTTATGTTTCCGCTACATTATTTTTTTATTGTGGTAAAATGTGCATAACGTAAAACGGACCGTTTTAGCCGTTTTTGAGTGTGCACTTCGGTGGCAAGAAGTACATTCACGTTGTGGTGCAACCGTCACCTCCAGAAATGTTCACCTTCCCGAACTGAAAGTCTACCCCTTAAACGCTGACTCCCCACCCCTCCCGCCTCCAGCCCCAGCCCATAGCAGCCCCCGCTTTCTGTCTTTATGAATTCAACTATTCTAGACCTCAGAGGGCTCCCTTGTGTCTGGCTTGACCCAGCACAGTGACTTCCAGAGCTCATGCACGCGGTACGCATCTCAGGGTGTCATTCCCCTCATGGCCGAATAGCATTTCATTGTACGGACCACACTGTGTTTATCCGTCGTTCGGCGGTGGACATTGGGGTGGTTTTCACGCTGGTATTTTTAAGGCTCCGGAGTGATACTCATGACCCATCAGGGATGAAAATCGAGGTCTTAGACCAGTGGTTCTTAAGCCTGGCTGAGCATCCAAATCACCTAGTAGCTGTTAAAAAAACAAGCCAATGCCTGGTGAGCATCACAGACCTGCAGACCAGCTGAATTGGATTCTCTGGAGGGGGACCCCGGAGTCTGCAAGAATCTGCAGTTACTTCCAGAAGGCCAGGGTGTGAAGACTCATTTCCAGGTCTCTGCTGCCCCCTGGTGGCAGCACCTGGGATCGTCTGCAGCACTGGCTTGCCCGCCCCGTAAGGAGTCCAAAAGAGCCAGTCCCCAGAGCCATTCCTTGGGGGGTCTGGGGAACCTGCGGGGCTCTCCCTGCCTGTCCTCCCCCACTGTACTTCCTGGTTTCAGATGAGCCTATTAGGAGAAGGCACAGACAGGCGGAGGACTCCGCTTTGCTCCTTGCCAGCTATATGACCTTGAACAAGCCATTTACTTGTTTCAGGGATGTGACCACTGCTCTCCCCGCCCCCCCCGCCCCGTCAAGTCCCTGAGATCACAGTTAAGTATGTGTGTTAGCTTTGGGGAGAACCTAGAATTTCTTATCGTTGGCTCCGCCGACAATTGGGCAGGATTATTCCTCATGGTGGGGCCATCCTGTGTATCGTAGGGTATGAAACAACATCCCTGGCCTCAATCCACTAGATGCCAATGAAACCCCCCAGTTTTGCCGATCAACACTGTTTCCAGACATGAAGAAATGTCCCCTGGGGGGAGGGTTGCCAGACAAAATGCAGGTTTCCCAGTTAGATTTGAATTTCAGAGAAGCGACTCACAACTTTTTGGTTAGAATTCTGCCCTAAAGATTGCATTTTTACTTGCTAAATCAGAAACCCTGCGAAACCACCTCAGTTGAGAGCCGCTGCCCTGTGAGTGCCTGATACTTGGGTAGGAGGCTAAGATACCAGATGGAGAAGCGGCAGCAGGAACGCACTGGCCCAGCCTGGCCGGGGAGGGGTGCTGTCTGGGGGCAGGCCCGGCAATGATGAGTGAGGTGAGGCTTGGGGAGAAGGGTGGCCGTGGGAGAGGAAGCTGGGCTCACAGTCAGGCCAAGTCCCTCTGGGGGCTCAGAGCCACTGATGTGCAGGGACAGGGGACACCTTATTTCCCCAGCACCTGGGGACAGGGCAGTTTGTGGCCGACCACAAGTCGGAGCGGTTCACCCCCAGCTTCTCCCCAGAGAGAACCCCCAGTGGTGGGGAGTCAGGCCCAACTTGCTCATTTGCAAGAGGAAGAAACAGGCCCAGAGAGGGGCAGTGACTGTCCCCAAGCCACACAGCCAGCTTGTGGCCCCAAGGTGGGATCAGGCTCCTCAAGCCAGGACTTGTGCCCCTGGAGTGGAGCCTGGGTATGTTCTCAACTTGTGGTGAGTCCTCTGAGAGTTCCCAGAATTTTCCAGATGCAGAGGTACTGAAGCCAGACTTCACCCTGAGGCCGGACCACCCGAGGCTGTGGTCCCCAGCTGCTCTCCATACTACTCCAGGGGAGTGCTGGGACCCCTTCTGGGGCTGTCCCTGTCATGTCCATCTCTTGATACTGACTGATAGGGAGATGCGACATGGAGAAATGGAACAATGCTTGGGCTTGGAGCCAGACTGTCTGGGGCTGAATAGTGGCGCTGCCCCTCACTAGCTCTGACCTGAGGCAATCTGTGCCTCAGTTTCTTCGTCTGTAAACTGGGAATGATGAAAATGATACCTACTTTGTAGGGTTATTAGGATTTGATGAATTAACAAGGAGGAATGCTTAGAACAGTAAGTGGCAGGTAGTAAGGTTTACCATTTATCTTACTTCCCTCTAGACTTCTGGTGACATCAAACCTTCTCCTTCGGAAGCTGGTTCAGCGGGCTGTCAATCATAGTCACTAACCCTGCCCTGCCCTGCGAGACACTGGAGTCAAGCAAGGAGCAGCCACTGCACCCTGTTGCCCAGTCACTGGGTTGATGAATGAGACAACCCTGAAGGTCTATTGAGTTCCTGGATCCAGCCTGACCTGAAGCTAGCTCCCAACATGTGAGACAATAAATTCCCCATTTCACTTAGGCAAGTTTGAAGGGGAGTTCGGACCCATATACCCTTTTTGCTTCATAGAGCAAGAGAGGTTCCCCCAAGGCAGCCCCCTTCTCCCATGGACCAAGCCTCTCAGCCTTGGTTTTGATCCAGCCCCACAAGGCCAATAACCCACTCTCAGGGAGTCAGAGGGAGATTCTCTGTTTGAGCTGTGGTTGGAGCTCAGAGCAACAGGAAACAAACTCGTATAAAGTACCTTGATGTGCCACATATAGTGCTGGGGCTTTGTAATAAGAATTCCCCAAGGCCACACAGCCTAGAAGTGGCATCACTTCAGTGTGAACCCAGGTAGTCTGACTCCAAAGCAGGCACGCTTCCCAATGCACCACATGGCTTATTACCTGCAGGGGGGATTTTCTGTTCCATTGAAAATTTTGATTGTAAAAACATAAAATTTACCATGAGGAGGGGGGAGCAGTTGAAGTCAGCATCGCCCTTCTCAGCCAGAAGATGACCTAGAGAATCAATTACTCCAAGTGGCCTGGTGCCCTGGAAAATAGGAGGCTAGGTCCCGTTCATTCCCTCAACCCCTACTAAGTGCCTGGCAATGTTCAAGGCAGGGCCCAGTGTTTGACGTGAAACAGTGAGGAGCTTGGAGGGAGCTTCTTCTCGGGGTTCACCCCGCACCTGCACAGCCTCAAGAGGGAGCGCCACCTTCAGTCCTGTGCCCGGGAGTCTGTCTGGGCCCCTCTTGGTCACTCTAGTCCCAGCAAAGTCCTGGGCAAAGAGCAGGTTCAGGGTCAAGTAGAATTTAGATGAGTGATGGAGTCCCACCCCAGCCAGAGCAGAAACTCCCAAGGCACCGTCCCTGAGAAATGATTCTGTCAACAAGGTGTCCGAGGGGCACTTAGAGCACAGTGATGTACAACGTGGCCTAATCGCTGCTGTTGGGGGTCCGGGGAAGAGACCGAGGGCAGATAGACACCAGCACACATAAACCCCGCATTACTGCCTGTGGACAGTGTCCTGAAGGGAAGGGTGGCGTGGTCTGCAGGGGCGTTACCAGAATCAGGACCCCCGCTCCCAGGAGGTGATGGTTAGGCTGGCCAGCTCCTCAGAGGCCTGGAGCCTAGCACTGGCCTCCCCCGACCTTCTAAATTTTCATAACCAGGCTGCTCCCTTCGTTCCTCTAGCCCTGGGCGTGGTAGCTGCTCTGTGTCATTATTAACCCACAATACCTTTTTAGTTGACCGTTCTGTACATTCTCTCTGTTGAAAGAACCAGAGTGCTTTCTATCCCTTGGTAGGACTCTGAATGACACAGAACGAACTGCTGCAAGCTGAGGAAAGAGCAGAAGGTGGCCCAGTCCAGGCAGAGGCACCCGCACGGTGTGGCCAGAGGCTAGGAGGCTGGAGGGAGCGAGGCACATTGCAGGAGCCAGGACCAGTGGAGCTGGAGGGGATTAATGGGGTGGCAGGTAGCATAAGATGAAACTGGACGGGTCAGCTCTTACATGGCATGGAGTCTGGATGGGATCCTGGGAGCAATGGGGAGCCATGGAATGCAATACAGCGACTGAGTGATTTAACTTTCAAAGACTGCCCTGGCTGCCGTGAGCCTAACTCGCTGTTGGGGGCAAGAGTGGGCAGGAGCAAGATAGCATGTTAAAAGGTGCTAACTCCTTTGTTTTTTGTTTTTTCCTTTCTTTACTGCTTGGAAGGGAGGCGTCTCAAGGAAGAAAAACATGGGGGCGATTCTGGCGCAACATGATGTCACAAGATAAAGGACAGGACCTCATGGCCGCTCGAAAACTCAACAGTAAAGAGAATGCCAGGACCCTAAATGAACCCCTACTAACCCTAAGTGAGTCAGAGAAAGTCTCCACCGATGACTCCCCAGGACCGTGCGGCCACCAACGGAGCCAGCCTGCTGGCCAAAAGAAGGTAGAAAGCGCTTTCAGGCCTGCCCAGTGTCTCCTGGCGGATAAGTGTGGCCCTTACTCCCCCAGGTGCCATGAGGCCACGTGGGGGGGTGACGGCCCCGAGCTCCTCGCGGTCTGGCTCCCCGCAGAAAAACCCCAACTCCCAAGAAACGCCCGGGCCGGAAGCGGAAGCGCGGGTGCGTGCGTGCTGCATTCTGGGAAGTGTAGTCCACAGAGGCCGGAAGAGTCCGTGAGAGCGGTGCATTTGGGGGAAGGTAGTCGTCTAGTGGTCTGAGAGCCGGCGGCGTGAGCTGGAGTGGTTCACCTAAACCCCACGCCGTGGCGGGGGTTAACAGTTTGGGGACTTAGAGTGAATACGTAGAATTTGGTTTTGTCTCTCCCAACCACCAACACCCACGGAAGCGGAGAATAGGACCTATCCACGCTTCAGTGATGGCAAGCAGGCCTGAGTTATTCCGCCCTCGAACGAGTAAATCAGCTGCGTAACCTCCCGGAACCTTTGTTTCCGTATCTGTAAAACGGGCAGATTAATCATTCTCACTTGGCAGCTTTGATAACTCAATCAAGTAACTAGCAAGGTGCTTAACACACCTTCCTTGCTTGACAAACCCCTCTTCCCTTTGAAGCTGAGCGTGCAGAGCAAATGGATGTGTTTTGTAACCAGGAGCAAAAATTGTGCTTCAGCGGAGCACTTGGGACGTTTTCTTTGCAAAGTAGGAGTTCCTGCAAATTCCAGCCAAAACTCATAGGGAGAAATATAAGGAAATCTTGTCACCCAGAGACTCAGCAAGGACGTGTGACCTTACTAGCCAACACACAGTAAGATGTAAGTTAAAAAATGAGACGGGTGCCTGGGTGGCCCAGATGGTTAAGCGTCTGACTTGGCTCAGGTCATGGTCTCATGGTTGGTGAGTTCCAGCCCCGCATTGGGCTCTGTGCTGGCAGTGGGGAGCCTGCTTGGGATTTTCTCTCCCTCCCTCCCTTCTCTCTCTCTCTCTCTCTCTCTCTCTCTCTCTCTCTCTCTCTCTCTTTGTCTTTCTGCCCCTCCCCCACTCGTACTTTCTCGCTCACTCAAAATAAATAAACTTTAAAAAAATGAGACAAACTTCTGGGGCAGAGTGTCCTCGCATGTTATCAGTGGAAATATTAATGGGCTCATCCTTTATAAAGGGCAATTTATGCGGGTGCAAAGTTTCCAGTTGTAGGAATTTATCCTATAGACACACTAGACTGTTTCAAAATGACAGAAGTTTAGGAATATTCATTGTAGCGTTGTTTATGAAACATGCCTGGAAATCGTCCAGGCCTCTATGGGCAGAGGACAAGTTACAAAAATGATGGTACATCCATGCACGGGTATGCTATGTTGCCGTTAACATCAATGAGGTGTGATATCACCTGTGTAACATTCCTGCACAAAAATGTTTATCCTAAGTATATTGTGAAGAAAGTCTCAGAGAAATCCAAATTGTGGGATATTTTGCAAAACTGGCCTAGACCCTCAAAAATGTTGATGTCGTGAAAGACCAAATAGACTGGGAGATTGAAAGAGGTTAAACAGACCTGGCAATTAAGTGCACTGGGCAATCCTTCATTGGAACCTGGATTCTTTTTTTTTTTTTTTATTTTTGGGACAGAGAGAGACAGAGCATGAACGGGGGAGGGGCAGAGAGAGAGGGAGACACAGAATCGGAAACAGGCTCCAGGCTCTGAGCCATCAGCCCAGAGCCTGACGCGGGGCTTGAACTCACGGACCGCGAGATCGTGACCTGGCTGAAGTCGGACGCTTAACCGACTGCACCACCCAGGCGCCCCTGGAACCTGGATTCTTAAAAAGGACATTTTAATCAGACACCTTGGGAAATTTGATTGTGGACCATATGTTTGATAATAGCAATGTATCAATGTTGACTTTCCTGAACGTGATCGTTGTATTGTGGTTGTGTAGGATAATGTCCTTAGCAGCTATCTGCTGAAGTATGTAGCATTGAAATATTAACCCTTGGCTCTTGAATAGTTTAGAAAAAAGAGAAACAGGTAAAGCAAATGTGGTGTGTATTAACAGTTGTTGAATCCAACTTTAAATATATGGTTTTTCATGTTCCTCTTCTTGCAACTTTTTTTATAGTGTTGAAACTTTCAAAGTAAACAGTAGGCAGCAAAAAGAACGAGAAAGCTCCATATGCACTGATGGGGGAAAAGCTTCAAGAAATGGGTAAGATTTTTTTTTTTTTTTTTTTTTTAAGCAAGGTGCAGAGGTGGAAATGCACAAAACATCCGGGGATTGAGGACACAAAAAGGAGATGACAAAGGTTGCCTCTCGGAAGGGTATCTGGGGGTGGGGGCGGGAGTGGGGGGAGTGGGGTCAGAAGTGGGAAGACTTGCCTCTCGCAAGTGCCCTTTTAGACCTTTTGAATTTTGTATCATGTCCATTCAGATAAAAAAGTAATAATAACTTCGAAGAAGGCTGTTACTGGGAAAGCACTTGTGGTCAGGAAACCCCAGACTAGGCTCCCCTGCTCCATAGCTGTAGACCTGTTGGGAAACCCAAAACAGAAGGAAGGAAAACCAGTTACTTTCACATCCTTTCCCACATCTGATTCTCATCACAACCCAGTGAGTCAGACAGGTTTTATTTGACCCATTTATAGATTAGGAAAACTGAGGACCAGAGAGTCTTAGCAACTTGTCTGAAGTCATCCAGTGAGACACTATTAGAGCTGAGATGGAAACTGAGTCCTTCCCAGTGACCCAGCCTGGCTCCTTCCCTCCTGCAGGTGACCGCTCCAAGCTCTAAGGGTTGGATGTAGCAAGAGAGAGCCCAGGGTAGGAGGGCAAGGGTGGGGTTGACTTCCAGGCTCTGGGTGCTCACTGAAGCTCAGCCCAGTTGCCTTCCCACTGTTGCTTTTACACGGGGCTGTCCAGGCAGGAAGCAGAAGTCAACCCTGGGCACGCAAAGCATAGGCTTGATTTACATGTTCATGGGCAACTGGTTTGAGACTTTATTTTGGGGACCAAGAGCTAACTCAGCCAAAGAGCCTCTTCCCTGAGCCCATCTGGGCTGCTTTTTACCATCTGTGTATCTTTTTTTTTTTTTTTTAAGCTTATTTACTTTAAGAGAGAGTGAGAGCGAGCCTGCCCAAGGAGAGGAGGGGCAGAGAGAGGGGGAGAGAGAATAGAGCCCGATGCAGTGCAGTCTTCGATCCCATGAACTGTGAGGTCGTGACCTGAGCCAAAATGGAGTCAGATGCTTAATTGAACTGAGCCACCCAGGGCCCCCCTCCCCCGCCCCCCCCCCCCCGCATCTCTGTGATCTTAAACAAAGTGGTCTTTTTAATAAAAAAAAATAATGAAAATAGTAGATGGATATTGTTACCAAGTCAAACAGTAAAGTACTTAATGGCAGTTTGGCATTTCTGTCGAAACTTAAAACATGTATATATGCTTTGATATGTGATCCAGTGTTTACAATGGAAACTAATTTTTTTCTGTGAATATACCCACCCAAGTGTTCAAAGATACGTATGGAAGAATGCATTGCTTATAAGAAAAACAAAGACACAGAACTGTGAACAACCCACCAGCAGAGCCATTGCTTAATTCAAGTGGGCTCCATCCACATTGAATAAAAACAAAGACAGTGCGGGTTGCTGGATTTACTGACCTGAAAAGATGTCCACAGTATATTGTTAAAGAAAGGTCCCATTTCGAGGAAAAAAAAAAAAACAAGTTATAAGCATATATACACATAGAGATCTACCTGTTTGAACAAATGTAGAAAAACATTTATAAAAAGTGCAAATTATTTGATTTGAATGTAAAAAGAGCATGTAATTTTCATTTTTTGAGGGATAATGAGGTTGACTTTTTTTTTTTTTTTTTTTTTTTTTTAAGTTGGCCACTTGTGTTTCCTCTTGTGGGAATTGCTAAAATATTACTGTCCCTTGGTCTTCTGTCACGCCAACTGGGTGTAAAAGCTTCGGGCACCACGTCTCCTAAGAGTTTCTATTTACATTGCCAGTGCTTCCTGTAGGTGGGTATTTTGGAAATGAGGTTGCTGAACTTGAGGCAGAGGACGTTCATTCTCAGTCTTCGTGTAATGAAGTGTCCTGTGGGATAAAGGGCTCTGAGAAGTGAACGCGTTTCCTGCCCAAAGCACGGTTGCAATGTCTTCCTTTCTTTCGATTCTAGGATCTTGCAGAGCGTACTCTTTGGCTCTTGGTGGACGTGGACGGTGTGAAGGTGGAGGTACTTACAATGTTTGAAGGGGGGGGAGTGGGGAGCACTCCCAGGTCTGGAGAGGGTGAGGTGCCCAGGGGACACGCTAAAAGGAAAGGTTCCGGAGGCACAAGGTTTAAGGAGGCCCTCACTCCAGACGTCCCACTCGGGTCCCAGCCCTATTGACTGCTTCTTGATGACAGAACAGAAAATCTGTAACAGCCCTTGCACTGGTGGGCTAGTCGTCACTGGTGGGTGACGGATGTTTCTTCAGAGCTAGACTCAAGATGGTGTTGGCAGACCGAGGCCGCCACGGGGGCCAAGGCAGCAGAGTCAGGGCTCGGCTCCCCAGGCAGTGCCCCAGACCCCTCGTGCTGTGCTGTGTTGCGTGTTGAAGGGTTAGACGACGCCATGGAGGGCAGACGTCTGGACAGATGGGACTCAACCGTTCTTGTCCTTGAGTTCTTTCTGATTCTTTCTCCGTGTGTGGAGCTGCGTGGCTAAGGGTTTTCTCTGCACCTACCCTGGTGCCCAGCCTCCACCTGCTACCGGCCGCAGGTCTGGGCTCCTAGAGAAGGAGGTCCCCCGAGGGCCCCGGGGCCTCAGAGATTGCCTTGACCTCACAGAAGCTGCGGCTTCTCAATCTTTCCTGCACCCGGGGCACTGCATTTTGGCATTCTGCAGCTCACGCCTCTTGAGTTCATACCACAACCTTTAGAGGTAAGGACTGTGTTATCCGCATGCTGCAGATGAGGAAACCAGGGCCCAGAGAGGGGTAGCAACCTGTCCCTGACCACAGAGCTAAAAAGCAGCAGAGTAGGGATTTGAACTCCCAACTCCAGAGGCACGTTCTTCACCATGATGCCCTGCTCCTCCATTTTCAAGGACCACGAGCCTGCTGAGTGCTGGCCGCTAGGTTGGGGGTTCCCACTGTCCCCTGGACCTCGGGGGCCCCCAAGGCTGGAGGCCCGGAGGCCCTCTGAATTCTAGAGTGTTTTCAGGACATCACTGGGGGGGTTAAAGCAGGTTGCGGTCTTAACTTCCCGGGGTGGGAGGTTCCCAGAAGCCCAGGGCAAGCTCGGCCCCTTTTTCCTGAGGGGAGGGGGTGGTGTGAGTTGGGACACGTCCTCTTTTAAGGTTCTCTCTTGCTGCTTCTGACCACTTCCTCTTTTCCCTGGGGCGGAGGCAGGCTGTGGCTGCACTAATGGCAGGCATCCCAGCAGTGGCCCAGTGGCCGAGGAGGCCTCTCAGTCTCTCCTGGAAGGGCTTGCTTGGCTGGGCTGAGGGCACTTCTCCGCCTGGGCTTCCATCCCCTCCCCGCTGCCGCCAACACCCTCCCCTGAGTCCCACCCAGAGAGCAGAGGGTGGGGGGCTCCCTGAGCTCTCCCTCAGCCAGACGGCTGCACACCCTCCATTCAGGCTCCACCTGGGCTGAATCTGCTTCCAGCAATTTCCATGGAGGACGTGGCCCAAGTTCAGGAACCCTGCCTGGACAGCCACACCCCTAGGGATGCTCAGGGAGGTGAGGACCCCAGTTCTGGGTAGAAGGCCCAGCCTAGCACCTCAACCATGAGTGCCCCATGTGGGCAGGGGAGCTGTGGCCTGGGAAGAAGATGGGCGTTGAGAAATGTGGGTTCCAGGCCTGGCTCTGCCGCTTGTCGGCTGCTGTGCTTACCAGGTTGCTTTTCTTCTTGGGCCTCAGTTTCCTCATCCATGCACTGGACATAAATAACACTTCAAAAGGTTGAAGAAACAAATGCAGTGCTACATGTATCGTGCTAAGCAGAGAGCCTGATACACGGCCAGGATTTAGTGTCTTACGTGTTACTGGGCAGAAACTGCAGCTGCCCTGAGCCATCCAGGATGCACTCCCCCTCCCCCCAGCCCCTGCAGAGGAAGGCCGGTCACAGGTCACAGCTCCCCAACCCTGTTTCCTGCCTCCACCCTGTCTCCACTCCTTTCTGCCCCAGTAGCCCCCAGCTTCCCACTTGTAGCAGGTACAGCCCTCAAGTTCAGGTGGACAGGACCATCACCTTTCCTCTGTAGCCTGTAGCCTCCCCACCCCATCTAGCCAGGTTGGTAAAACATCGACGTCAGTCATCGTTGGGATGTGCCCAGCCGAGTGTCGTGCCAAAGCCTTGGGTCATCGTTTCTTTTTATTGTGGTGAAATACACAGAACATGAATTGAGCCACCTGTAACGATTTTTAAGGGTACGGTTCCATGGCATGAAGTATATTCACACTGCTCTAGAAATGTCGCCACCACCCATCTCCAGAACTTTCTCGTCTTCCCAAACTGAAACCGCGTCCCCGGTAAACCATGGCTCCCCATGCCTGCCCCCACCTGCTGCAACCCTTGCTCCACTTTCTGTCTCTAGAATCAGACTGCCCTCCCTGCCTCTTATAAGTGGAATCATGCAGTAATTGTCTCTGCGTGACTGGTTTGTTTTCGATTAGCACGGCGTCCTCAAGGTTCACCCGTGTGGGGGCACGGGGCAGAATCTCCATCCTTTTTATTTATGTTTGAATAATATTCCAGCCTATGTCTAGACCCCATTTTGCTTGTCCACGTATCCATCGGTGGACACTTGGGTTGCTTCCGCGTCCTGGCTGCTGTGAATAATGTTGCTCTGCACGGGGGTGTGCAAATACCTGTTTGAGTCCCTGCTTTCGGTTCCTGGGGGCGCATACCTAGAAGTGGAATTTCTAGATCGTATGGTAATTATGTTTGATTATTATTATTTTTTTTTTTTGAGGAAATGCCCAATGCCCAAAGGCACTGGGGAGCCCCTCTGGCCATGCTGTGTACAGGGAGATAGGAAATGAGGAGCAAGACATCATAGGCTCAAATCCTGGTCCTGCCACTTCCCGGTGCTGTGACCTTGGGCGACTCACTTCATTGTCTCAGCTGTGATGAAGAATGAGAGCAGCGCCTCCTGGGGCTGTGGTGGTGTTCAGAGCACATACTTTGGATGGTGCCTGGCGCACAGGGAGCCCTAGTGATGTTAGCTGCGCCTCGTGGTGCGTCTGGACTCCTCCAGAGATCTGATCCTACACCCTCACCGCTTCTGTGGCCCCTCCATGGAACAGGCCTTTGGAGCCGGCCCTGCTTCTTCCCCCAGGACTCCAACTTCTTTCCCCCTTTTGCAGGTCCCTGGGAATCTCTCCTCATTGAGGGAGTTTCTCTTTCCCTGTCCGTCTGAGGCTTATGCTCTTGAAAACAAAAGCCAGAAAGCAATGCCTCAGGCTAACCCTGCGAGAGCCTGAGCCAGGACCAGAGGGGAAACCAAGGACACTGACCAAGAGGTCAGCACGGGCACAGGCAGAGAGGACCCCTTTCTTCTTTCCTCTGACCTTGGTCATGCCATTCTCGATGGCTGGGTCTGGTCTAGGCCCCGTGTTTTGGGAAGGGTGAGGAGAGCTGGGAGGGTCACTGAGGACCGCCCACAGGCATGATTACAGGGACGGGGACGAGGCGCTCTGGACTGAGATGAAAGGAGCGGTGGTTTGGCACTTTCAACTCTAGGGGAGTCAGCCGGAGGGTTCCGGTCAGTGAGGGGTGGCTGTGGAGATGAGATTACCCCCCTTGCTGGGCCAGCAGCTAGGGCTCCCGGGCTGAGGCCGGCACAGTCCCACCTCTGGTTGAGGCCAAGCTGGTGTGCGGCTGTGTCCGGCCAGCCTGCCTGGTCTGCGTCCCCAGCCACCCCAACCCCCACCCTTGCTCCCGGGAAACTACTTCTGCTGACCGCGGATGATTCCTGGAGGAAGGTCAAGGCAGGACCTGGCAGGCTGAGGGCTTTGCTCCCGGGCGTTCACACCTGGAGGTTGGCCCAGCTGTGTCACCTCCACCTGTGACAAGAGGGGACAGAGAAACCTCCAGGATGCCCCCCCCACCTGGGACATTCTCTTGCTGTCCCATCACCTTTGCTTTCCTATTTTGTCTTCTCTGTTCCTTTCACCTCGTACCAGCTGGTACGTGACTTGGAAATTCACAAAGCAGTGCACTTCTCTTCACCATTTATCAATACCCAGAACCTGGCGAGGAGCCAGCACTCAGTTTCTCACAAGTGGGCTTTAGTGAAGGGCTTTTTTCCGTGGCCCTCTGGCAGAGCTCACAATGGGGACCCCTACGACATGCTCCCTAGCATTGTCAAAACCAGTCCTGTCTTCGCTATTTGCAGACATCCCCCAAGGGGCGCTGATATCTGTTCTGGGGCATTAAATAAAATATGCTGTGAAGGTTAAGAAGGATAACGTGTGGAAAATTCCTGGCACATTATAGTTATCAGGAAAAATAGTTACCATTTTTTATTTTTAAAAATAATTATTATATTAAAAGGGAGGACAATATGTATTGAACACCTGCTATGTCCCGGATACTGAAATGTTGGAATCCTGCCCCGGGAGTCAAGCGGACTTTCCCGGCCTACATCAGACGCAGTGACACCCACAAAGGTCACCCTCCCAGCAACAATACAAAGTGAGGGAAGTATAGGGAGGGGAAGGACCAGCCGTGTGTCCTTCGGCAAACTGCCTCACCTCTCTGAGCCTATTTCCTGACCTGTAAAGAGAGGCTGGAAATCCTCCCTTCCCCTTCTACTGGAGTCAGGGGTCAGAGGAGGTAAAGCCTGTGCCAGTCTTGGCAACCAGGAAAGTGCTGCCCAGCGGAGCAGACCGGCAGCTCTCAGTGGGAGACAAGCCCTTACCTACACCTTTAACTGAATTCCCCGCTCTCAGCTCCTGAAAGCCATCTCTGCAGGCTTGCGGAACACCCCTCAGGGACACTAGAACTGTGCTCTTCTCCAGGGCCCGTTAGGAAAAGAATGTCCTACAAGGCCACCCAAAGGTGGTCATTCCTCTGGTGACCCCCTTGTGGCCGTGCCCCACTCTCATCTGTCCCATGCCCTGACTGCAGGCCAGTTGATGTGGTGTGTTTCCAGGGAGACCGGGGAAGGCGACAGCATTTCTGGGAGGAAAGATGGTCTTGTCCAGGGGCACAGGGGGGTTTCCGAGGCTCGTGCTGAAGCTGAGTGGTAGAGCCGTGGTTATAAAGAGCAGGTTTGCC